TTTTTAAAGAGGTGCTTTCAAAGTGCCATTTGGGGCTGGACGTAGTGGCTCATGCCTGTAATCCCAGCGTTTTGGTAGTCTGAAGCGGGCAGATTGCTGGAGCTCATGAGTTCATCACCAGCCTGGGCAACATGGTGAAACCCCATCTCTACAGAAAATACAACAATTAGCCTGGTGTGGAGGTGTACCTATAGTCCCAACTACTCAGACGGCTGAGGTGGGAGGATGGCTTGAACCCGGAAATCAGAGGTTGCAGTGAGCCGAGATTGTGCCACTGCACTCCAGCTTGGGCCAATAGAGCCAGGCCTTGCCTCAAAAAACAAACAAAGAAACAAACAAAAAACCAAACAACAACAACAACAACAAAACAAAACAGAACACCAAGTGCCATTTGGAATTCTTCTTTCTGTTCAGTAGTCTTTTGATTAATGTGTAATATGAAAACACAGTCACTATGCTGCAAAGAGTTATGAGGATAATACAGTATAAAGTGAGTACAGTATTCAGTGTAATGGTGTTACATACTGATACCACATGCTAAATGTGATAGAAATTGTAAGTACAAAGGAAGCTACAGAAAGAGAATAAGGTGGTCTGGCTTAGTATAATAGGATCTTTAAGCTTTTGCTATCAGTCCTGTTTTCTGTAATTCATTGTAAATAATGTTTACATATAAAAATATATTAGTTTTGTTACATATGCTTTGCGTTGAACCATAAACCTGTCTGCTTCTGTTTGAAGTATTTTCTCTTCATAACTTCCTATTTTGTTGATCGATATGCCTTTACTGGCACTTAGAGGAGCAAAAAAAAAAAAAAAAAGGGAATCAACTTCCTGTCCGCTTCATTGTCATAAAATGCCAGCGTGTGATAGAAATGGACATCTGTAGCATGTTATGACAATGACATACCACGGATGTCCATTTTTTTTTCCTCTCTCTTGTGCTTTTAATCTTTTAACATATTTGAGGAAGGAGGAATATCATTTATTTTTCTCCCTAAGAATCAGAATCTTAGGCGTATTTTAAAAAAAATTCTGGTTGTTTAAACTCTGGAGTTCAGGCTGAATTACATTTTTACTTGATACTAATATACAGTCTTTATAAGTCCTAAAGTCTACTGAGTTCCTTAGGCAGAGTGAATAGTCTTTGAGTAAGCAGTCTTTTCTGGCTCCTGTCTTCCTGTTCTATTATATATAATAGATTTTTAAAAGTTGTTTAAGAGAATTTTGTATAGACAGATTGTGAGCTGTTGTGTCCTGCCCAAATCTGAATTCAAATGTAAAAATAATTTTATAAAAATGAATATTTATTAAAGCCCTTTTCATAGAAATAGTACGCTGACAAATGAAAACATTTTGTGACAACAGTAATAAAACTTTCACTAGATAGAGCTAGAGTAGTTTGATGTAAGGGGAAAAAGTATATGGTCATTTTGAATTGTATGCATTTTAACTTAGTAAAATTAAAAAATAAGATATTAGTGATACCTGCTGTCATAATACTCATGTAGGACACAAAATATGGCATGATAAAATGAAGACTTCCGGGCTCAGTGGCTCAGGCCTATAGTCCCAGCGTTTTGGGAGACCCAGGTGGGAAGATGGCCTGAGTCCAGCAGTTCAAGACCAGCCTGGGCAACATGGCAAAACCCCATCTCTACAAAAAATACAAAAATTAGTCCAGCATAGTGGTTGCACGCCTGTAGGATTGCTGGAGCCTGGGAGGTCAAGGCTGTGATAAGCTGAGATTGCACCACTGCAGTCTAGCCTGGGCGGCAGAGTGAGATCCTGCCTTAAAAAAAAAAAAAAAAAAAGAAGAAGAAGACGACTCACTAACTAATAAGAGTTGACCCAGGTTTTTGTTTTTTGTTTTGTTTTGTTTGTTTTTTGTTTGTTTTTGGCTAAGCATAGGGGACTTTATTAATGGTACACACAAGGTGGGGCTCCTAGGCCCCTCCCTCTTCAGGGGTTCTGCATGGACACTGAGGAGGGGAGATTCTCAGTGTAGTGGGGGACTGAGTGTGGCAGGGACTCCCCAGCAGTGAGGGCCTCTCTCTTCCTCTCATGCTTTCGCTGGGGCTGGTGGTCTGGTGGTCTTACTCTTGGAGGCCATGTGGGCCATGAGGTCCACCACACTGTTGCTGTAGTCAAATTCATCACTATACCAAGAAATTATCTTGACAAAGTGGTTGTTGAGGGCAATGCCAGCCCCAGCATCGAAGATGGAAGAGTGGGTGTTGCTGTTGAAGTCGGAGGAGACAGCCTGGTGCTCATTGTAGCCCAGGATGCCCTTGAGAGGGCCCTCCGACGTCTGCTTCACCACCTTCTTGATGTCATCATATTTGGCAGGTTTTTCCAGAAGGCAGGTCAGGTTCATGACCGACATGTTGGCAGTGGTGACACAGAAGGCCATGCCAGTGAGCTTCCTGTTCAACTCAGAGAGGGCCTTGCCTACAGCCTTGGCAGCACCAGTAGAGACAGGGATGATATTCTGGAGAGCCCCGCAGCCGTCACGCCACAGTTTCCCAGAGGGGCCATCCACAGTCTTCTGGGTGGCAGTGTGGCGTGGACTGTGGTCATGAGTCCTTCCACGATACCAAAGTTGTCTTGGATGACATTGGCCAGGGGTGCTAAGCAGTTGGTGGTGCAGGAGGCATTGCTGATGATCTTGAGGCTGTTGTCATACTTCTTATGGTTCATGCCCATCACGAACATGGGGACATCAGTAAAGGGGGCAGAGATTCATGACCCTTTTGGCTCGTTCCTGCAAGGGAGCCCCAGCCTTCTTCATGGGGGTGAAGACACCAGTGGACTCCACAACGTACTCAGCATCAGCATTGCCCCATTTGATTTTGGAGGGATCTCGCTCCTGGAAGATGGTAATGGAATTTCTACTGATGACAAGCTTGCCATTCTCAGCCTTGACGGTGCATGGAATTTGCCATGGGTAAAATCATACTGGAACAAGTAGACCATGTAGTTGAGGTCAATGAAGCGGTCATTGATGGCGACAATGTCCACTTTGCCAGAGTTCAAAGCCACCCTGGTGACCAGGCACCCAATACAACCAAATCCGTTGACTCCGGCCTTCACCTTCACCATGGTACCTCAGAGATGCAGCTGGAAATGCATGAGAAGATGCGGCTGTCTGTCGAATGGAAGGAGCAGAGAGCCAAGTTGACCCAGTTTTTTACATTGGGGGAAAAAACCCAACCCATAGAGATCGTGTTACAGCCACTCGTGACTCTGGCTCATTGTGGGCAAATACATAGATATTGTTAAGACACAGTCTTCAAGAAAGAGTACACTGTGTTAAGCAGGCAAGTCTAAAATACAAAAGAAAGAAAGTGAACAAGTCAGAGAAATACGGCGTACTACGGGAGTTCATGAGAAAGATCACGTCCCGTTGGGAGAATTAGAAAAGAATTCATAAAAAGGAATTATTTAAGCTGGGCCTTGACATCATTCCCTCACAAGGAAAAGCTTGAGCACTTGCAAATACCTTTGAGGAAAACTGAATAATTAAATCTGTGATATAGTGGGAAAAGAATGGACTTAATCACAGCTGGATTGAAGCCCCATCTCCCACCATTTCTAGCTGTGTGTCCTTGGGCAAGCCAGGGATGTTAGAACCATCTATGAGGTGATGCTTAACCAAGAGTATATTTAAGATTTCTGGCAAAATAGATGGTGCACAGTGGTTTAGTAAGTAGTTTTTCTGTCTTATTTCCCCCTTTCCCTACTTTATGTAAAAAACGAATGGAGAAAAAGAAGAGCCAGAGCAATGAGGACCTTGAATGCCAGGGTAAGCTGAACTACATACATTAAGCAGTTTGGAAAGGACAATTAGAGTTAGATAAATCTAGCAGCATCTAATCCTTGATCGATGTTCAGTAATGGGAAGGAGGGATGTGGTGGTTGGTTAGGGGAAGTCATTACAATCCAGGTTAATATGTGGATCTGAACTAGAGTACAATGAGAGAGAATAGAGTTCAATGATAATAGGAAGAAAGGGATGGATGAATAGAGATTTTTCCAAGCAGAATCCAGGAGAATTGAAGTGGATAGGTTGTGCAAGTGGAGAGAAGAGTCAAATATGGCTCACATTTTGAAGTAGGGTAACTGAAAAAATGGTGTTGCTACTTATAAAAGTAGGGGAATCTAAAGGTATAGTGAGGGAGAAGATAAGGACCTTGGTTTTTCATATATTTTGTTCTGTAATTATATTTCACTTATAAAGTGCTCTGAACAGTAGTGTGGTAGTTAATAGCACAGGCTGGGAGCCCTGCTGCCTAGGTTCACATCCTGGCTCCACCACTTACTTGGGCTTCACTCCATCTCACTGTGCTTCAGTTTCTTCAGATAGGGCACAAAATATGGCATAGCAAACTAAGTGAAAGAAGACTCCTGGGTGCAGTGGCTCAGGCCTGTAGTCCCAGTATTTTGGGAGGTCTAAGTGGGCAGATGACTTGAGTCCAGGAGTTGAAGACCAGCCTGGGCAGCATGGCAAAACCCCATCTCTACAAAAAATACAAAAATTAGCCCAGTATGGTGGTGCATTCCTATAGTTCCAGCTACTCGGGCAGTGGGGCTGAGGCGGGAGGATAAAGGGCAAAATAAAAGTAGCTACTTCATGGAGTTGTAGTGAGGACTAAATGATTTAATTTACATGCAATTAGAACAGTGATGGCAGATAGTGTTTTCTATCGTGATGCTGATGATGTCTGCCTTTATTGTGTGTGTGTGTGTGTGTGTGTGTGTGTGTTTTCTTGAGTGAGAATCTTGCTCTGTCACCCCGGGTGGAGTGCAGAGGCATAATCACAGCTCACTGTGGCCTCGACCTCCTGGGCTGAAGCGATCCTCCCACTTCAGCCTGCCAAGTAGCTGGGACTACAGGTTTGTGCCACCACAAGTGGCTAATTTTAAAATTTGTTGTAGAGACTGAATCTCACTCTGTTGCCCAGGCTGGTCTTAAACTCCTGGGCCCAAGCGATCCTCCCAGCTTGTCCTCTCAAAGTGCTGAGATTACAGGCGTGTGCCATTGTGCCTGGCAGGCCTTTGCATTTTATTTTAGGGCTAATTGATCCCTTAAGCAGTAGAGTGGCTTGTAATTATATTGCTTTGTCCTTTGAGTCTTATCATGAGTGTGTTGGAATGCAACTTTCTTTTTTTCCATTTTATTTTTTATCTTATAGCAAAATTGAGATTTTTGGGGTACAAGTCCATGAATTTTAACAAATGTATAGATTTGTCTCATCATCACCCAAATCACTTTTAAATTAACATTTGAAATAGATGCAAAATAGTTTCATCATCCCATAAAACTCTTTTTGTCATCTCCTTTTAGTCATACTGTTTCCCTGCCCCTCATCCCTGGCAGCCACGGATCTGTTTTTCATCACTATGATTTTGTCCTTTTGAGGATATCATATAAATGGAATCGTAGAATGTGTAGTAACCTATTGAGACTGGCCTGTTTCACTCAGCAGCCATTGAGATTCATCCAGGTTGTTGCATGTACCAAGTTTGTTCCTTTTTATTGTAAGGTAGTGTTCTATTGTATGGGTGTACCCACAGTTTGTTTATCCATTCACTTGTTGAAGGTTATTTGGATTATTCTCAGTTTTTAGCAATTGCGACTAGAGCTGCTATACATTTTCATGTACAAGTTTTTGTGCAAACACGAGCTTTCATTTTTCTTGGTTAAATTGCCAGCAGTCAGATTGCTGGGTTATAGTGTAAGAGTATGTTTAACTGTGTAAGAAACTTCCACCTCTTTTTTTTTTTAGAACAGTGATGCTGTTTTGCATTGCCACCAGCAGTATATGAAAATTCCAGGTGTTTCACATCCTCACCAGCACTTGGTATTGTTGTTATTGTTTATTTTAGCCGTTCTAATAGATGTGTAGTGGTATTTCATTAAGATTGTGGGGTGTGTGTGTGGGGGTGTGGCAGGGGCTGTGTTGCTTAGGCTGGAGTGTAGTGGCTATTTACAGACATGATCGGATGGTAGTGCACTACAACTTTGAACTCTTGGGCTTAAACAGTCATCCTATGTAGCTGAGACTACAAGCGCACACCACTGGGCCTGGTTCATTATTTTAATTTTCATTTATCTAATGGCAGTGATGTTGAACATCTTTTTGTGTGCTTATTTCCATCCATATATCTTCATTGGTGAAGTGTCTTAAGTCTTTGGTCCATATTTTAATTGAGTTGTTTTTCTTACTGTTAAGTTTGAAAGTTTTATATATTTGGGATGTAAATTTTTTGTCAAATATGTGATTTGCCAACATTTTTCTCCTGGTTTGGAGCTTGTCTTTTTTTTCTCTTATGGGGTCTTTCTCATAGCAAAAGGTTTTAATTTTGATGGAGTCCATTTTAGCAGTTTTTTTCTTTCGTATTTAACAACTAGTAGCCTGACCCCGAGTCATGAAGTTTTCTCCTATGTTTTCTTCAAAAAGTTTTATTGTTTTAGGTGTAGTTACATATATAACATAAAAATATATTTTATATATTATATAAAATGCATCAGAAACTATATGAAACTATAGCCAGGTGCAGTGGCTCGAAGTCCCAGGCTACAGTGTGCTATGGTATGATTAATTTTTTGTGTGTTCACCTTGTTTTGTTTTGTTTTTTTTTGAGACGGAGTCTCGCTTTGTTGCCCAGGCTGGAGTGCAGTGGTGCATCTCAGCTCACTGCAAGCTCTGCCTCCCGAGTTCACGCCATTCTCCTGCCTCAGCCTCCCGAGTAGCTGGCGCCTGCCACCACGCCTGGCTAATTTTTTGTATTTTTTAAGTAGAGATGGAGTTTCACCATGTTAGCCAGGATGGTCTCAATCTCCTAACCTCGTGATCTGCCCACCTCGGCCTCCCAAAGTGCTGGGATTACAGGCGTGAGCCACCGCGCCCAGCCATGTTCACCTTGTTTTTAGTGACCTTGCTAAACTTACTAGTTCTAGCTGTTCCTTGGGAATGGTTTATGTAGACAATCATGTGTGCTGATAGGGACAGTTTTATTTCTTTCCAATCTTTGCCTTTTCTTTTTCTTGCTTTATTGCACTGGGGATAACTTTTACTTCCTATGTGGGTTTTCTTCTTTAGTATGTTGTTGTGGTGGTTTAATATGGCTTAATGTGCTGGTAATATGGTAGACTATATTTTTTTGAGTATTGAAGCAGCCTTGCATAAACTCTTAGGATAAATTCTACTTGGTCGTGATCATTCTCTATATTTTGCTGGATTATATTTGCTAATATTTGTTGGGGGATTTTTATGTCTGTATTCATGAGGGATATTGATTTGTAGTTTTCCTTTTCTGTACTATCTTTGTTTTTGGTATCAGAGTAATAGCTTATCTCATGAAATAAGTTGGCAAGTGTTTTTGCCTCTTCCATTTTCTGAAAGAGATTTTGTAGAGTTGAGGCTATTTCTTCTTTAAATGTTTGGTGGAATTTGGTGAAACCATCTGGGCTTGAAGATTGCTTTTCAAACTGATTTAATTTCTTTAATAGTTATAGCAATGCTCAGGTTGTCTTTTGGGTGAGTTCTGGTAGTTTGTGGGTTTTGAGGAATTGGTCCATTTCATCTAAGTTGTCACATTTATGTATGTAGAATTTTTCATAGCGTTCACCTTACTTACCTTTTTAATACCAGTAGCGTTTGTGTAATGATAGTCTCTGATATTACAGATTTTGGTGACATATGTCTTCCCCTCCGCGCCTTTTTTGCCAGATGTTTATCAATTCTGGTGATCAACAGGCCAGGTGCGGTGGCTCACACCTGTAATCCCAGCACTTTGGGAGGCCGAGGCAGGTGGATCACCTGAGGTCAGGAGTTTGAGACCAGCCTGGCCAACATGCTGAAACCCCGTCTCTACTAAAAATATGTTGATCTTTTAAAAACAGCTTTTGGTTTGGATTTTTATCTATTGTTTATGTTTTCAATTTTATTTTGTTTGTGCTTTTTATTTCCTTATGCTTGCTTTGAGTTTATTTTGTTCTTTTTCTAGTTTCTGAAAGTAAAGGCTTAGAATATTGATTTAATACTTTGGGATTTTTTTTTTGTTGTTTGTTTGTTTGTTTTGTTGTTTTTGGAGACGGAATCTCACTCAGTGACCCAGGCTGGAGGGCAGTGGTGCGATCTCGGCTTACTGCAAGCTCTGCCTCCTGGTTTCACGCTGCCATTCTCCTGCCTCACCCTCCTGAGTAGCTGGGACTACAGGCGCCCGCCACTATGCCTGGCTAATTTTTTTGGTTTGATACTTTTTTTAAATGTAAGCACTTAATTTTCTAAACTTTCCCCTAAGCCGCTTTTTTACCTGTAGCCTACAAACTTTTATATTTTATATTTTCATTTTTGTTAAGAACTAACTTAACGAAGAAATTTCTAATTTCTCTTAAGACTTCCTCTATGCACCATGTATTATTTAGATGTGTGCATTTAATTTGCAAGCATTTGGAGAGTTTTCTGTTGTCTTTATTACTTATTCCTAGTTTAATTCCATTATGATCAGAGACTACACTTTATACAATGTAATTTCTTTTAAATTTGTTTAGGGTTGTTTATTGACTCAGGATATGGCTTATATAGGTCCACGTGCACTTGAAAAGAATGTATATTCTGCTTTTGTTGGGAGGAGTGTTCTAAAAGCGCCCGTGAAATCCAGTTGGTTGGTGATGTGTTCTGTTGTTTTATGTCATTGCTAATTCTCTGCTAACTAGTCCTGTAACTGAAGAGGAATGTTGAAATCTCTTTGGTTGTAATTGTGGATTTATCTGTTTCTCCGTTTTGTTGTTTTTGGTTTTGCTTTGTGTATTTTGAAGATTTGAAGTTAGGTGTATGCACATTTAGACTATAGTATGTCTTTGGGAATTGACACTTTTATCATTATGCAGTGTCTTTTTTTATTGTGGTGAAAAACACAACATAAAATTTGTGTTTTTATTGTGGTGAAAAACACAACATAAAATTTTTAAGTGTACAGTACAGTAGTGTTAACTACATGTACATTGTTGTCCAGCAGATCTCTAGAACTTTATCTTGCAAAACTGAAACGATACAATAACTCTTCTTTCCACCCCTCTTGGCAGCTACCATTTTACTTTCTATGAATTTGACTGCTTTAGATGCTTCATATAAGTGGAATCAGTGGAACTTGTCTTTTTGTTTCTGGCTTATTTCACTATGTATAATATCCTTAAGATTCATCCATGTTGTAGCATATGACAGGATTTTCATCTTTTTTGAATCTGAATGGTATTCCATTGTATGTGTAAGTCACATTTTCTTTTTCCGTTTATCTGATGATGGATATTTAGGCTGCTTCTACCTCTTGGTTGTTGTAAATAACGCCACAGTGAACATGGGTGTGCAAATATGTCTTTGCTATCCTGTTCTCACTTCTTTTGGATATGTACCGAGAAGTGGAATTGCTGGATATGGTAATTCTATTTCTAACTTTTTGAGGGCTATCCATACTGTTTCCAAAGCAGCTATGGAAGCTATTTTACATTCCCACCGACAGTAGAGAGGGTTTCCAGTTTCTCTAAGTCCTTGCCAACACTTCTTTCTTTCCCTGTCCTAACAAGTGTAAGGTGATATCTCATGATTTTTATCTACATCTCCCTGATGATTAATGATATTGAACATCTTTTTATATATAGTTGACTGTCAGTGTCTGCAGGTTACACATCCCCAGATTTAGCCAAACATGGATTGAAAATATTTTTAATCCAATAAAAATAATACAAATTTTAAAAATACAATATAATAACTATTTATATAGCATTTACATTGTCTTAGGTATCGTAAGTAGTCTAGAGATAATTTAAAATATGTAGGAGAATGTACATAGATTATATGCAAATACCATACCAGTTTATATAAGGGACTTAAGGATACATGGATTTTGGTATCTGCAGGGATTCTGCAATCAGTCTTCTGAGGATACTGAATAAGGGCTGTACTTCATGACCATTTGTATATCATCTTTGGAGAAATATCTGTTGAAGTCCTTTCCTTTTTTTTTCTTTTCTTTTCTTTTTTTTTTGTTTGAGGCAGAGTCTCACTCTGTCACCCAGGCTGGAGTTCAGTGGCATGATTACAGCTCACTACATCCTTGAATTCCTGAGCTCAAGTGATCCTCCCACCTTAGCCTCCTGAGTTGCTGGGACCATAGGCACATGCTACCACGTCCAGCTAATTTTTGGTTTTTTTTGTAGAGACAAGGTCTGTGTTGCCCAGGCTGATCTCGAACTCCTGGGCTCAAACAGTCCTCCAGTCTCAGCCTACCAGTGTTGGGATTATAGGAGTGAGCCACCACACCTGGCATGTTTTTAGTTTTTGTTTGTTTGTTTTGTTTTGTTTTGAGACAGGTGCTTCCTGTATTGCCCAGGCTGGCCTTGAAGTCCTGGGCTCAAGTGATCCTCCTACCTTAGCCTCCCAAGTGGCTGGGACCACAGTCATTCACCAGCCATTGCACCCAACCTTTTGCCCATTTTAAAATTGGGTTCTTTTTTTTTTTTTTTTAATTGAGTTGTAGTTCTTTGTATATCTGGATATTAACCCCTTTCCAGGTATATATTTGCAAATACTATTTTCTTCCATTCTGTAGGTTGCCTTTTCTTCTCTATTGATTGATTGTTTTGCTGCACAGAAGTTTTAAAGGTTGATGTCCCATTTGTCTGTGTTTACTTTTGTTGCTTGTGCTTTTTACGTCATACACAAGAAATCATTGATAAATTCAATGTTGTGAAACCTTTTCCCCGTGTGTTTTCCTCCAGTAGCTTTATGGTTTCAAGTCTAGTCATTTTATGGTTTCAGGGCTACATTTAGGTCTAATGAATTTTGAGTTAATTTTTGTATATGGTGTAAAGTAAGGGTCCAACTGCTTTCTTTTGCATGTGATATTTTTATATAGTGTTTTTTATCACTAACAATTTTATGTGTTTGATATTATAGCTACTCTTCAGTTTTAAAAAAATTCTTTAAGGTTTTGTTGTTGTTGTTGCTGTTGGCATGGTGTGTCTTCTTTCTATCCTATTCCTTTAACTGTGTCGTTATACTTAAAGTAGATTTTTTTTCTTGTACGCATTTGATAGTTGGATTTTGCTTTTTCTTATCCAATCTGAAAATCTCTCTTTTTAAAAAAGTCTTTATTTGAAACCATTGTAGATTCACTTGCAATGCTAAGAAATAATAGATCTTATATTTCCTTCATCCAGTTTCCCTCAGTGATAACATCTTGTGTAACTTTTGTACCAGGAAATTGACTTTGATACATTGTCTATCTTATTCAAATTTCACCTGTTTTACATGCATTCGTGTGTATGTGTATGTTATCACGTGTAGATTCATATGATCGAGATACAGTATAGTTCCATCACAAGTATCTCTTGTACTACTCATTTATAGCCACAGCTACTCCTCTCCTCTCATCCTTCCCTAACCTCTGGCAAACAATAATCTGTTCTCCACCTCTATAACTTTGTCATTTTGAGAATGTTATATAGATAGAATCATACTGTATGGCTTTTTTTATTGAGCATACTTTGAGATTCATCCGGGTTGTTACATGTTTCAATAGCTTGTCCCTGTTGCTGAGTAGCATTCCTGAGTCTCTGCCTTTAATTGGAAGTGGTTAGTCCATTTACATTTAATGTGATTATTGATACTGTTGCATTTAAATCAACATCTTACTCAGGGATCAGCAAACTATGAGCTTGGGGATTAAATCACACTCACCAAGTGTTTATTCTTTGTTTATTTTATTTTATTTTATTTTATGAGACAAAGTCTTATTCTGTTGCCCAGGCTGGAGTGCAGTGGTGTGATCTCAGCTCACTGCAACCTCTGCCTCCCGGGTTCAAGTGATTCTCGTGTCTCAGCCTCCCAAGCAGCTGGGGTTACAGGTGCACACCACCATGCCTGGCTGTTTTTTGTATTTTTTAGTAGAGATGGGGTTTCGCCATGTTGGCCAGGCTGGTCTCGAACTCCTGACCTCAGGTAATCCACCCACCTCAGTCTCCCAGAGTGCTGGGATTACAGGCATGAGCCACCACACCCGGCAACTAAGTGTTTGTGTTTTTTTTTTAATAATTAAAGTTTTATTGGAACATGGCTATATTTATTTATTTACTATTGTCTGTGACTACTTTTGTGTTACAATGACAGCGTTCAGTAGTTGTGACAGAGACCTGTATGGCCCAGAAAGTCAAAAATATCTACTCTGTGGCCCTTTACAGAAAAAGTTTTTAAGCCCTGATTATGCTATTTGTTTTCTATTTGTCCCATCTGTTCTTTGTTGATTTTGCAGCAGGAATGTGAATTTAGAAGAGATATTACAGTGACTGGTGCCTGTTAGAATGTCTATAGATGCTTTCCTCAGATAACATTTTAGACCTGACAGAAGGTGTCTGTATTCGTTTTTTATTGTGTGTAACAAATTACCACAATTTAGTGGCTTAAAATAATATGCATTTATTATCTCACAGTTGCCGTGCATCAGAAGTTTGGGCACAGTGTAGTTGGGTCCTTTGCTTAGGATCTCATAAGACTGCAATAAAGCTATTGGCCAGGCTGTATTATGAAGAGGCTCAATGATGGAGAAATCTGCTTCCACACTTATTCAGGTCATTGGCAGAATTCATTTCCTTGGAGCTGTATGACTGAGGACCTGGCTTTTTACTGACTGTCAGGTGAAAGCCTCTCTCATGTCTTAGGGATTGCCTGTAATTCCCTGCTACATGGCTGTCTCCCTGGTGGTTTGTTTTTCAAGGCCGCAGGAGAGCTTCTTATTCCAGTCTGCTCACACAGTATTCTATAATGTAACGTGATCAAGAGAGTGACATCTCATCACTTTCCCACATTCCGTCAATTAGAAGCAAGTCACAGGTTCTTCCTGCATGCAAGGGGTTTATATGAACACATGACTCATTAAGGATCACTGTCATGTATGTCTGCCACAGAAACCATAAGAAGGCATTAATAACTATAATCTATAACCTTACATTGACCATTTTGATTTCTGTCAAAAGCTGGAAATGATGAGATTAACAATAAAGAACCTAATATAGCTAAAGTTCTGGTTAGAATATTTAGAGTTTTCTGAAACTACATAATAAGCAGAGCTTTCCACTCTGATAATGCCAATATTTTAAACAAGCACTTGTAAATTCATTATTGTATTTGATGTATTTCTCAGGATAGTACCATGAGGGAGATAGGTATCCCTGTTTATAGATGAAGAAACTGAGGATTAGTAAAGCCTCAGTTTTACAAATTACACAGCCTCAAAAAAAATTACACAGCCAGTGAGTAATGGAATAGGTGTCTATTTATTAGTAACTTGAAATCCTCTGTTCTTGTCAGCAAAGTAGAATTGTAACATAGAATTATTGATGGTGTGACTGTTCATCAAATATGCTTTGATGATGAGGAAAGTTTGATTTTGTATGTAAATACTAATAAGTTCTATGTGAAAATCAAATAAAATGAGATCTTTGTAAGAGTGCAGCATTTCCTATGTTTGGCAGTACAATATTTCTAATCCTGAAAATGTTTCCTTAAGTGGTATCTCTATTTTACAGAAGAGATCGAGGTTTAAGCAAGTTGTCATTTGCTCAAGCTCATATGTTTGATATGTGGTAGAATCATAATCTGACTTCAGAATCTAGGATGAACCTAATTCAATCAAAATATCCTTCTGTTTTGGCCTTGCATTACTAATTTGTATAGCTGGAAGGCAGCTATACTAGTGTTTTACTGTATATCTCTATTCCAGTAATTTCATCTCTACTTAATTGTTATCTGTTAAGTGGGGTTGTTTATCTACACTTGGATGAGAAAGTCTTTAGTGAACTTTACCTATCATCTGTAGGATCATGTTGTTCTGCTAAAAAAAAAAAAAAAAAAAATCCGAGTGAAGCCTCAAAACTTAACATTTTCAGTTCATTGCCATGTGTGGTGGTTAAAGCATGTAATCTCAGCACTTTGAGAGGCCTAGGTGGGCAGATTGCATGAGCCCAGGAGTTTGAGACCAGCCTGGGCAACATGGAGAAACTCCGTCTCTGAAATAAAAATTTAAAAATAGAAAAATTTTGGTTCATAGCCTTTCTCTTTGACGATAGCGTATTACACATCTCAAAAGTCACGTGCTTAAGTCAGTTCTTGTTGGATTTTAAAGGAGTTCCTTTATTGATATAAAATAATTAGCAGAAGTGAATTATGTGTTATTTAGCATAAAAACAAAGTTTTTTGTTATTTTATAAATAATGATTGATATGGTTATTTTGCATGTATAGTATTAACAAATTATAGTTAACAATAATTTTTTTCTTTTGGTTTGTCTCTGTGTGTTTTATTATTGATTTTTCAGTCACAGCAAACTGTACAATGGCAGTTGAGTGGGTTTTGAAAAACATCTGAATTGTAGTGTCTACATCTCTACCTCTGCCTTCTCCCTACTCTTTGAAAAAGAATAAATGGCGTGTTTGAGAAGAGAGCTATATTGAAAGAGGAATATTGCAAATGGCTTCAGATTCTGTGAATACTAAACAAGCTAGGAATCACATTACAAAGGGGAAAAGGCAACAACAGCACCAGCAAATAAAGAACAGATCCTCAATTAGTGATGGTGATGGAGAAGATTCCTTTATTTTTGAAGCAAATGAAGCTTGGAAAGATTTTCATGGTTCTCTTCTTCGATTTTATGAAAATGGAGAACTCTGCGATGTCACACTCAAGGTGAGATTGCCTTTTTTCTACTTTTCTCAGGCCGCTTCAGTGTAATATGAGAAATGGGGTTTCTGTAACCACACAAGGCAAACTTTGTTGCTATACATATTTGATGCAGTTGGAATGCTTTTAGTCTCAATCTTTTTTTTTAGTGTAGGAGAAAGGACATAGAGGGCAAATGAAGAGAAGTTAGAATAAGATAAAATTATTGTACTAATTTAATGTTGATATTCATTATTTCTTAGTTAATTTAACTTCTGAGAGTTCTGAAACCCTAGAACAACAATTATTATTAGTGAAATTAATAAATTGCTGTTGACCAGGTAAGCTTTTCACTTGTGAATTTAAATAACTTGGTGTATTTGCTTACTCTGAATACAGAAGTAAGTTAGAAGTCAGCAATTTTGGATTGTTTACTCAGCTAGTGATTTACTGTATATCTCTATTCCAGTAATTCAATCTCTGCTTCACTGTTTTCATCTGTTAAGTGGGATTGTTTATCTACACCTGATAGTGAAATATAGTCTACTTAGCCTTGGATGAAAAAGTCCTCAGTGAACTTTGCTCATAATCTATAGGATCATGTTCTCCTAAAAGCAACCAGTTTTAATAAAATTGGAAAAGTGATAAAGCAGTATGGAAAAGCCTGTGTTCTGATTGTTTCTCATTGCACATTTAAAGTACTTTCTTCTTATCTCTCAGTGAAATATTAAAACTTTTTGGTGAACTCTTGGGCTTAAGCAGTCCTCCTGCCACAAGCGTCTGAGCAGCTGGGACTGGATGCTTGCACCACCATGCCTGACTAATTAAAAAAAAATTTTTTTAGAGAGATGGGTCTTGCTATGTTGCCCAGGCTGGTCTCAAACTCGGTCTCAAATGATCCTACTGCCTTGGGCCTCCCAAAAAGCTGAGATTATAACTGTAAGCCACTGTGCTAATGGTAGATAATTATTTCTCATAGTTCTGAAGGTTGGGAGGTCTAAAATCAAGGTACCAGCAAGTTTGGTGTCTGGTGAGGGCTGCCCTCTCTGCTTCCAAGATAGTGCCTTATTGCTGCATCCTCCAGAGGGATGAACACTGTGTCCTCACATGGAAGGCAGAAGGACAAAATGGGCCTAAGCTAGTTCCCTCCACTCCTCTTTTAAGGCACTAATCCATTCATGAGCACAGAGCCCTTATGATTTCATCATTTCCCAGAGGTTCCCCCACTTAGTATTAGCACAGTGGGGATTAAGTTTCAACACATGATTTTGGAGGACATTTAGAAGATAGCACAGACATAATTTGATAGAAGAGAAAAATAATAATGGAGAAAGTGATCCTATATTTAACACGTAAGCATTCTATATTATGAAATTTTAAGATTCTGTGTTTAAGGAAGATTACCTTTTACTTCATCCATTCAGCTAGTAAATCAGTATTTTAATCTTTTTCATGTTTCTCAGAAAGGTGGTATAATCATGTGGCACATAAGGACATTTTGGTCAACGATGGACCCCATATACAGTGGTGGTCCCATAAGATTATAATGGAGCTAAAAAATTCCTATCACTTAGTAATGTTGTAGCTATCATAGTGTCCTAGCACAGTGCATTACTTACGTGCTTGTGGTGATGCTGGTGTAAACAAACTTACTGCATTGCCAGTTGTATAAAAGGTATAATACATGGTTATGTATAGTACCTAATACCTGTTCATGCTAATAAATGATTGTGTTACAGGTTTATGTATTTATTGTACTTTTTATTATTGTTGTAGAGTGTACTCCTGCTACTTCTAAAGAAAAGAACATTACTTAAAAAAAGAAAAAAATTTCAGAAAGTTGATTCTTAACAAAAACAAGAAAAGAAAAAATGTTAACTGTAAAAACAGCCTTAGGCAGGTCCTTCAGAAGGTATTCAAGAGGAAAGCATTGTTACTATAGGAGATGACAGCTTCATGTGTCATCTCCTTTGTAGTAGGACAAGATCTGGAGGTGGAAGACAGTGATATGGATGATCCTGACTTGGTATAGATGCAGGCTAATGTCTGAGTTTGTGTCTTAGTTTTTAACAGAAAAGCTTAAAACGTAAAAGAAAAAAAATTTAAATAGAAAAAAGCTTTTGGAATAAGCATATAAAAACATTTTTGTAGAGCTATGCAATGTGTGTGTTTTAGGCTGTTATTACAAGAGTCAAAAAGTTTTTAAAAAATTAAAAAGTTTATGGAAAAAGTCACAGTAAGCTACGGTTAATCATGAAAGAAAGAAAAATATTTTTTAAAATGTAGTGTAGCGTAAGTGTACAGTGTTTGTAAAGTCTGCAGTAGTGTACAATGAAGTCCTAGGCTTTCCCGTTCACTCACCACTCAATAATTCACCCAGAACAACTTCAGGCCCTGCAGCTCCATTCATAGCAAATACTTTATACAGGTGTACTTTCAATAAAATATATTTTATACCGTATTTTTACTGTACCTTTCCTATGTTTATATGTTTAGATATGCAGATAGTTACCATTATGCTACAGTTGCCTACAGTGTACAGTACAGTAACAGGCCATGCAGGTTTGTAGTCTGGGAGCAACAGGCTATACCATATAGCCCAGGTATGTAATAGGCTATACCATCTAGATTTGTGTAAGTACATTCTGTGACATTTGCACAATGATAAAATCACTTGATACATTTCTCAGAACGTATCCCCATCCTTCAGTGACACATGACTGTATTAGAACTGCTTACCACAGCCTACGTGTGTAGTATAAGCTACATACCTAGGCTATATGGTATAGCCTGTTGTTGCTGGGATATAAGCCTGCGTAGCCTATTACCATACTGAAAACTGTAGGGATTTGTAACACAATGGTATTTGTTTATCTAAACAGAAAAGGTACAGTAAAAAGTGGGCAAAGGACATGAACAGACACTTCTCAAAAGAAGACCCACAAGTGGCCAAAAAATGTATGAAAAAATACTCATCATCACCAGTCATTAGAGGAATGCAAACCAGAACCACAAAGAGATACCATCTCACATCAGTCAGAATGACTTTTGTTAAAAAGTCAAAAATAACAGATGTTGGCAAGGCTGTGGAGAGAAGGGAACACTTACACACTGTTGGTGGGAATGTAAATTAATTCAGCCACTGTGGAGAGCAGTTTGGATTCTTCTCAAAGAACTGGGAGTTGAACTACCATTCAACCCAGCAATCCTCCTGGTGGGTATATACCCAGAGGAAAATAAATCATTCTATCAAAAAGACACATATGTGTGTACGTTCATTGTAATGCGATTCGCAAATAGCAAAGATACAGAATCAGCCCAGGTGCCCATCAGTGGTAGACTGGATAAGGAAAATGTGTTATATTTACACTATGAAATACTATGCCATAAAAAAGAATGAAATCACGTTATTTGCAGCAACATACATGCATCTGGAAACCATTATCCTAAGTGAACTAATAAAGAAGCAGAAAACCAAATACCACTTGTTCTCACTTGTAAGTGGGAATAAACACTGAGTAAACGTGGTCATGAAAATGGGAAAAATAGTGGAGAATACAAGATGGGGGAGGTAGGGAAGGTGGTGGGGGTATGAATTGAAATAAACTGTTTATTTCATGTTGTGTATTATGCTCACTACCTGGGTTATAGATTCATTTATACAGCAAATCTCAGCATGATGCAATATATCTATGCAACAGACCTGCATATGCACCCCTAATTCTAAAGTAAAAGTTGAAAAAACCGAAAAATATATATATTTATTTATAAATTATAATTTATATAATTATTTATAAATATATATTTACAATAAAATAAAAATATAAATTTAAAATAAAAATAAAACTGTAAGAATGAAGGAATAGTAAAATTTTTTTACTTTATAAGGGGAAAGGACAGATTATAGGCTTATTTTATTATTTTGAGACAAGGTCTTATCTTGTCACCCAGGCTGGAGTAGAGTGATGCAATTGTGTCACGGCAAGTGTCAAGATTATTCTTACTCACGAAGTTATGCAACTGTATATTCACTATAATAGTATTTACGGTAATCAAAAAGTCATAATGTAAATGTCAAAACAACATTGAAATGGTAATGAATAATGTGCATGTAGAATAAAATATTAGATGTTAAAGAAATGCTTTCATGAGTTGCTAATGATGAATGTTAAAGTATATTAGAGTAGAAGGGCATTTTTCAACTACTGATATGGAAAATTTTCCCGCTTATATAATGGTTAATAATACTAAGATAAAATTTAACTTTTTCTAATTTTTTTTTTTTTTTTTTTTGAGATGGAGTCTCGCTCTGTCACCCAGGCTGGAGTGCAGTGGCACAATCTCAGCTCACTGCAACCTCTGCCTCCCAGGTTCAAGCAATTCTCCTGCCTCAGCCTCCCAAGTAGCTGGAACTACAGGCACGTGCCACCATGCCCAGCTAATTTTTTTTGCATTTTTAGTATAGACGGGGTTTCACCATGTTAGCCAGGATGATCTCCATCTTCTACCCTCCTAATCTGCCCTCCTTGGCCTTACAAAGTGCTGAGATTACAGGTGTGAGCCGCCGCACCCAGCCTTTTTTTGCTAAATTTTTTAAGTGAAGTGGAAATCGTTTACAAAATAAATGTTAACCATGGTGAACCTTTTTTTTTTTTTTTTTTTTTTTTTTAAATAGCAACAAAAGCACAGATTTATTGAAATGAAAGTACACTCCCCAGAGTGGAAGTGGGCTCGATCAAGTGGCGCTCAAGAGCCATGATGAAGTCCTAACTAGTGGAGTTAGGAATGCTTTGTATGTTGATAGTCAAGTGCTTTACTAATCCAAAAGCCCTTTTTTCATTGTATTTCCATTCATATTGGGTAATCTCTGGAAAATTACTCAGAGTTTTTATTAATGGTTGATATTTCAAGCTTTTTAAACAGAAGTCTAAGGAATTATTTAATGAATGTTGATATTCTACATATTTTAATACTGAAGTGTGACGTGATTTTTCCCTGAGTATTGTTAAGTATAGCCTAAAGCTCCTGCCTTACGTATTTTAAGCTTGGCTTAAAAGTTTCTCTGTACACAGTAAACTGTAACCTAACTGGATGTGTAAACAGACTGCAGCCTACTCTTTGCTAATCACTGAGTTTCAGCCAATCATAGGCAACCAGTTGTCCAACCTGTGTTCAAGTAAGGCAGACCCTGAGCTGTAACTGACCCATCTATTTCTGTACCTCACTTCCGTTTTCTTTGTGCCACCTTCCTTTATCTGTCTAAATTTTCGACTATGCAGCAGCACCAGAGTCTCTTTGAACCTATTCTGGTTCCAGGACTGCCTAATTCTTGAATCCATCTTTGCTCAGTTAAACTCTGTTAAATTTGTCTAAGGTTTTTCTTTTGTGATAGTTTCTTGAATTAGTCACATGTTCACTGATCTAACAAAGAAAGAATATAAATTAGAAAATTAACTAGTATCGGGTACATATAGTATTTATGTAATTCTAAATTATATGGTAGTGTCTAATATTATGTAACTTGTGTGTTTTTCATCCAATTTTAAACATCAGGTCTTTAAACTTAGATTCCTTTCATTTTCAAATTTCTAATGAAATGATTTTGGTAATTGGTAATTATTTTTATGTACCAGAGGAAGAAAATGTACAAATAAACTTTCAGGAATGTAATGAACTATATAACATCAAAGGAGAATCAGTGCATTAAAAAGCCAAATTTTTGGCTGTTCCTATTTATACATGTGGCTCAAAGATCTTTATAAAGTAATGATTGATATTTATTCTAAAAGGGTACATGGGGTGTATGTATTAAATAGCCACATTTTCGTTTATTTGAATCAAGATTCAAATAGAATTGTAAAGGGACAGAATCTTATTAAAAACAACATGAAAATGACTTGCTGGCCATTGATTTGTACAACTTGAATGGCAAGTGTTAAAATAATGGTTATCTAGAAATTGTAGAATCATATTTTATGATACTATTATGTAGGAGAGTGTTGGCAAGTTATTTAATGGAGCAGGTTTAAGTCATGTGAGACTTACAAATATTTGCATAGAAACTGAATCCCGGTGGTGGCATGTGGAAATAATTTTTTAAAGGATATGCTTAGGCTATTTAAAAATTACTTAGTATCAGATATCAGATCCCATTTTAGAGCTGACGTGAATTTGAAAACATGCCAAGCTTTATGTTATAGTCTACAACGTTAGTCTCAATGGAATCTAAATCCTGCCTTGTGAGTTCTGTGAAAAAATTTAATATAGCATAACAGACAGAAATGATTGTCTTGTACTTGCTGAAATAAGTGATACTGGTTCTTCCACATTAGTGAAAAAACACTGAGGAAGGGGCTTTTATAAGCAAAACCATTTATACATTTGAACACTCCAGAAGTTGTCATTTAAAAATTATTTCTCAGTGAGGTACAACTGTAAGTTTATTATATAATTAAAACACTACATGAAAACAGAAAAATTGTTTAAATAGTACTATAACTGTTACTTGTATTTGATTAATGTAAACTCCTGGGAAAATGGGATAAATACTATATTAAAAAGATATCTGCCCACTCAGTACCAAAAACTTCCAGATGCAAATAAAAATTTAAGTGTAAAACATAAAACCATAAAAGTAGTATAAAAAATATGTGAAGTAAATATAGAATATTAGAATGATTCCCATTTCTAGCAGGGTACCTAAAACAATAAATAAAAAGACTTCATTTAATTATATAAAAATCCATAGGGAGAGAATAAAATTTGAAAGCAAACTAAAAGAGAAGTTTGAAATATATATGACAAATACCTAATACTCTGATTATATGAGGAGTAGTTATAAAAAATTTGTAGTTCATAGAAGAAATACACATAGCTCAAAATTTATAAATGATTCAATCTTAAGAGCAAAAAAAAAAAATAAATAAACAATGAGATCTTTTTATTCATCAAATTGGCAACTATGGCCGGGCATGGTGGCTCACACCTGTAATCTTAGCACTTTTGGAGGCCGAGGCAGGAGGATTGCATGAGCTCAGGAGTTTGAGATCAGCCTGGGCAGCATAGACTTTGTCTGTACCAAAAAAAAAGTGTTTCTTAACATTCAAGATATGGTGCAAATACTGTAAGAAGCTCAGAAATGGACAGTTTGACAGTATGTATTCACATATTCACATTGTATCCTTTGAAGCAGCATTTCTACTTTTAAGAATTTATCTGTTGGAATAATAGAGAATGTGAATAAAGATTTAGTTACAAAGAAGTTCACTACTGTGCTGTTTGTAATAGCACACTGTTGGAAGCTATCTGATTTTTCAATAATTAAGGTGATGAGATTGCAGTGGTTTTTTTTTTTTAACTGCTCTTATGTGAGCTATATCATTTCAAGATAATGTAAATAGAAAATAAAAAAACCTCAGTTGAGCTCATAGTAAATACTACTAAATACTTATTCTGTGCTTCAGTTTTCTGATTGATAAATTGTGGATAATACTAGTACTTACTCACAGGGGCGTTGGGACAGTTGAGTTAGTATATGAAAAGCCCTTGGAAGGCCAGGCTCTGTGCCTCATGCCTATAATCCTAGCACTTTGGGAGGCCAAAGTAGGTGAATCACTTGAGCCCAGGAGTTTGAGACCAGCCTGGGCAGCATGGCAAAACCCTGTCCCTACTGAAAAATAAAAAAATTAGCTGGGTGTGGTGGTGCGTGCCTGTAATCCCAGCTGCTTGGGAGGCTGAGTTGGGCGATTGCTCAAGTCCAGCAGGTTGACACTGCAATGAGCCATGATCACGCCACTGCACTCCAGCCTGGGGAGCAGGGTGAGACCCTATCTCCAAAAAAAAAAGCACTTACAATAGTGGTTGGCTTGTAATGAGTGCTAACTGATGTTTGGTGTTATTATTTATTCACAAAATGTCCCTGAAATATAACATAGAAAATCATGGTTTGTTGTATATATGTTATAGATATATATATAAAAGAGGCCGAGTGTGGTGGCTCACACTGGTAATCCCAGCACTTTGGGAGGCTGAGGCAGCTGGATCATTTGAGACCAGGAGTTCGAGACCAACCTGGCCAACATGGTGAAACCCTGTCTCTACTGAAAAAACAAAAGCCACAAAAATTAGCCAGGTGTCGTGGTGCACACGTGTAATCCCAGCTACTTGGAAGGCTGAGGCAGGAGAATCGCTTAAACCCAGGAGGCAGAGGTTGCAGTGAGCTGAGATCGCGCCACTGCTCTCCAGCCTGGGCAACAGAGCAAGGTCTTGTCTCAAAATAAATAAATAAATAAATAAATAAATAAATAAATAAATAGTGTGTGTGTGTATGTATATGTATGTATACATATGAGATATGTGGTTAATTTGGAAGATGAAAATTGCCTGACTTTAAGAAACTGGCCTACATTGAAAGTAAGTGACCAAAGGTTCGCGTTGTAAAAAGATACTCTAAATTTGTCTGGAAATTTTGTTCCTGTTACAAACACATGTTAAATGCTGACCTGAAGCTGATTTTGATATTAAACTGAATCTTTCTTGGTTTCTTTTGAACAGGTTGGCTCAAAGCTAATCTCTTGTCACAAGCTGGTATTGGCTTGTGTTATTCCCTACTTTAGAGCCATGTTTCTTTCTGAAATGGCCGAAGCCAAGCAAACGCTGATTGAGATTAGAGATTTTGATGGTGACGCAATAGAAGACTTGGTAAAGTTTGTCTATTCTTCACGGCTCACTTTGACTGTTGACAATGTCCAGCCTCTCTTATATGCAGCCTGTATTCTGCAGGTTGAACTAGTGGCTAGAGCTTGTTGTGAATACATGAAGTTACATTTTCATCCCTCCAATTGCCTGGCAGTAAGAGCCTTTGCAGAAAGTCACAATCGAATAGACTTAATGGACATGGCGGATCAGTATGCCTGTGAGCATTTTACTGAAGTAGTGGAGTGTGAAGACTTTGTAAGTGTATCACCCCAGCACCTCCATAAGCTTTTGTCCTCCAGTGATCTAAATATCGAAAATGAAAAGCAGGTCTATAATGCTGCCATCAAGTGGCTACTTGCCAATCCTCAGCATCATTCCAAATGGTTGGATGAAACACTTGCACAGGTAGGGGCTGAAATAAGATTTCACACAGAAATGAAATGATACAGAAGCAAATCAGTATGCTTCATTTATTATGAAAAATGTAGATTATTTGAAGGAATATAGAAATTATTGATGTAATAAATGATAAAAATGACTTTTAGCTCTCTAATTTTCCTGTTAACTTGCTGTGCTGTTTCAGGATGAATCTAAATTTGTCACATTTGAATTACCAGTATCATTCTCTGCTTTTTAACCTGAATATTTAAAATATTCCTTTGGGATACTAATGATGAATATTTTATTTATGCCAGTAGAAAATGGTTTGAGGAAACAGCTCTAAATTAATATAATTTATAATGATTGTTTTATAATGAAGTTTCTAAATTAATGAATTATTTTGCTAATAAAAGTATAGTTATTCCTAATGTGTGAAGATTTATTATGTAAACAACCATAGGACATCACTTTCTATTTTCTTCATTCACCATAGTTTGACTTTTTAAACCTCAGAAATGTGTCTCATTGTTACTGTTATTTTTCACTGTCAGTAGCAGTTACCAGGATAAGAAGACTGTAGGCCCTTGCGATCTTTTTTTCTTTTGTCTTCCTCCGCTCTCCTTTCTCTCCCTTCCTGCCTTCCCTTCCTCCCTTTTTTCCTTTCTTCATTTATTCCTGAGAAGTAAAATGATGTTTTACTACTTAAGAATGTTCCTATTTACTTATTTTTTCTAAATTAAATGCTTTGTTAAAACTAGTGCTTATTAAAAGCACTCGATGATAATCTTGTGATTTTTAATAACATAAAGTTTCTTAATAGCATTATCAGAAGGTTAAACAAATAGTAGGAAGAATGAAAGTGCTTATAATTACCAGTGTTGTCATTTTAGATATTTATAGGCAGATGAAGTAAACCTATTCAAAGTGTGATGATAAGACATATTTTTTCAAGTACATATCACAATGTTTATGCATTCATATGAGTATCAAAATTCAGAACACGTTTGGATCTTCTCTCAGAATTATTTTGAAAGTAAGTTTGTCAGCAAAGCAAATGGAAAGTTTCATTATCGTGCAGCTATATCTTATTTGTGTATATGTGTTTTTCTTTAAGATGGTAAGGCAGACTTCATTTGGGGGGGGGGGGGGCATAACAGTAGATATAGGGACTGCTGCAACAAAGTCTTGCAGCTGGGGAGAGAGACCGGACTCAACCCCTTACGTGTGTGTGTTTTTAACTCAAAATAGCATTACCTGGTTTCATCATCCCCTTTAATCCACTGGAAAATCAGTGCATCTTTAATAGAGGAATGGTGAATGCCTCTGTTGAAAAAGGGGATGCATCCCTGAGTTAGTATATTCCCTTCCAAGATCACTGATTTGAAGAAAACAACGCTTGTTACAGATATTAATTTTTACATTTTTAAGTTAGAAATCACATTTCCCTATGTTTAATCTTAGCTTAAAAAGACAAAAGAACAAAGCCCAGCACTTTTGTTTTGATTGTACCATTATCAACAGAAGGGCCTTGTGATTATGTCAGTACTGTTTTTGGAAGTAAGCAATTTGAAGATAATTCAATTATAAAGCCTATTTAAACCTATATTTAAAGTGGGTGGATATAATTTAATGTGTAGTCTGATTTCATTCGAGCAGACCAATACTGGAAATTGCTTTAGAATTTGGCACGTTGAATTTCATGAACATGTTAGATTTCATGAAGTAACAAATTTTAAAAAGAGAACATGCTGCAGTAGAAGTGGAGAATTACCCATCGAATTTTCACCTTTATTTGATACAATTTTTAGACTTTATATTTTCCCAAGAAAATATAAAATGTATTATATTGCAACTATTCATGATCTTAGGTTCGTCTGCCATTGTTGCCGGTTGATTTTCTTATGGGTGTTGTCGCAAAAGAACAGATTGTCAAGCAAAATCTAAAATGTAGAGATTTACTGGATGAAGCAAGAAATTACCATCTTCACTTGAGTAGCAGAGCAGTACCTGACTTTGAATACTCCATTCGGACTACCCCAAGGAAGCATACTGCTGGTAACCAAATTATTTTGTCAACTCTCCTGGAAGGATCTTTGTTGTATTTGAGGGTTGTTCTTGTGTGCCCAAACTTAGTTGTAATATAATTAGTCTCTGATTGCCTTAAAGTAATAATTGGCAAATATGGTTCTATATATGTATTTATCATTTTTACTGTACATTATTTAGTTTTACTAATAAGCCAGTTTTTTAAAAAGCCATAATCAGTCCTATATACTCTGCAGAGCCTACTGAAATATCTCTTCTTTTGAGATCTTCCCCGATTCTGAACTTGGTTTACTATGTTGCATTTTCATTTATTCATTTGACATGTCTTGAGTTCTTCAAAGACAGCCGAGTATCTTATTTAGGTTTCTATCCCTGGGGCCAAGCGTGGAGCTTGAAATACATTGTGTGTCTAAATATTTGTTTTTTCATTTTACCAAATAAAAAGGGCACTAAACATAGCTAACATTTGTATAATGGGTTATATTAAACTCTTAGAATCTAAAGCCCTTATGTTTTAGGAGGCATGCAGTTTCACCTTTATTTGATACAATTGTTAGGCTTTATATTTTCCCAAGAAAATATTTCATATTCACTTCTTTTTCTTGAGACATTATGCTATAAGAAGTATCACTTTTTAATAAAATATTTATAAAGTGTAACATATTTGAGACATGAGGGAATATATGAGGTTCAGAAATTTAGGGAAGAGGTGCTCTGAATAGAGACTTCCCCTATATATGGTGCTATCTAAATATGCAGTTATCAAATAATGAGGTCTTTGAAATAGCCTGAAAACAACAACATGATTATGTTCTACTCATGATTATGAGTAGAATGAAATTTTATCTAGGTAATACAAAGAAACGCTGAAAGTCATACACCTACCTATGAAGAAGTAGTTCTTCTAGATAATTAGTTTGACATGAAACTAATTATCCTCATTTTCTATAGGTTGATGTAAAGAATTAGTTTTTTTTTTTTTTTTTGAAACAGAGTCTCACTCTGTCGCCCAGGTTGCAGTGCAGTGGCACGATCTCGCCTGGCTCACTGCAAGCTCCACCTCCCAGGTTCACGCCATTCTCCTGCTTCAGCCTCCCGAGTAGCTGGGACTAGAGGTGCCCGCTACCATGCCCGGCTAATTTTTTTTGTATTTTTAGTAGAGACGGGGTTTCAACGTGTTAGCCAGGATAGTCTCGATCTCCTAACCTCGTGATCCGCCCACCTTGGCCTCCCAAAGTGCTGGGATTACAGGCATGAGCCACTGCGCCCAGCCCAATAATTCATTTTTTTTAGTTATATAGCTTTTTTGTTGTGAATTTAGAAAGTCAAGGTATTTGATGAAATTCGTTAAATTCAGAGTGGAATTCAAATAACATCTTAGCAGCCTAGGTTATATGCCAAAATATACTAGACAGTCATATAAATGATCTCTTACATGACTGAAGGAACTTTATGTAGTAAGTTTTAGTGAAGGATTTGATCTTCATTTTGAAATAGGTGGTTTTATTCCATTTTAAGGATGAGGAGACTAAGATTTAAGTTAAAAGTATGCTGAAGGCCACACATAGGAATAGCAGAAAAAGGGTGTGCATCCTGGTCTTTTATTTTAGTTAGTTTTTTTTTTCTCTTCCATACTTTGTTCCTATGTGAACTATATAGATGAAATACTAGTTTCCACTTAAAGAAAATCTAATCAAAGATTAACATTACATTCTGAGATTATAATCCTAGCTGTGCCATTGAACATCTGTAATTTTGGGCAAATTTCTTAATCAGGGCATCAGTTTTCTTTTTTCTTTTTCTTTTTTTTTTTTTTTTTGAGACCGAGTCTCACTCTGTCGCCCAGGCTGGGGTGCAGTGGTGCTTTCTCAGCTCACAGTGCCTCCCAGGTTCAAGAGATTCTCGTGTGCGCCACCATGCGAGGCTTTTTTTTTTTCCCCCCATATATTTAGTAGAGCCAACCATGTTGGCTAGGCTGGTCTCGAACTCCTGGCCTCAAGTAATCCGCCTGCCTCAACCTCCCAAAGTGCTGGATTACAGGTACGAGCCACTGCGCCCAGCCCAACTTATAAACAAATTTCTTAATCAAGGCCTCCATTTACTTATAAACAATTTGACTAAATGATCTTCACAGTTTCTTCCAACTTTTTTTTTTTATTAAAAAAATTTTTTTGAGACGGGATCTTGCTCTATCATTCAGTCTGGAATGCAATGCTGCAATCACAGCTCACTGTGCCTTGAACCTCCTGGGCTCAAGCAGTCCTCTGCCCTCAGCCCCCTGAGTAGCTGGAACCACAGGCACATGCCCAGATAATTTTTTTTCTTTTTTGTAGGGAGTGGGTCTCACTATACTGCCCAGGCTGGTCTCGAATGCCCCGGCTCAAGTAATTCACCCACTTCAGCCTCCCAAAGGGATTATGGGTGTGAGCCACCACACCTAGCTGCTCTTCCGACTTTACATTTATCTAACTTAAAATATTGAATTAGTTGAAAAAGATAGCATAGGCAGCTTCAAGGCATTCATTTATGCAGTCATTCTGCTAACATTTATTAAGTGCCTACCATGTGAAGGGCTCTGGGTTAGGTGTAAGAAATGCAGGCACATACAGAATATAGCCAGACTTATTTTGGAATAACTTGTCTGGTCTAGGAAAATAGACATTTGAGTAAATAAATGCAGTAAAGTCTTAACAGGTGCTTTTATGTCATCATAAGGTATAATGGGACTTACAAAGAAAACAGTAGTTATTTTTATCTTGGCAGAGTCAGAAAAGGTTTTATAGAGAAAGTAAACCTTAGCCTTAGTTGTGAATAATAAATAAATGTTCTTCTGAATGCTAGTTAGGGTAAGGGTGTTCAGCTCATTTTACAATTATTGAATGCCTAGTACATGGCAAGTACTGTGCTAGTCCTTATTCATGCATGATTACTTAATACACAGTCTTAACCTACCTTAGACTCTAGTAACAGATGCTGGCATAATGGATCATTTTAATACTATGTGTTAAATAAATGCTAATTACCAAAAGTGCTATAGGAACACCAAAGATGTATACTACATGCATAGTTGCAGGTGCATGAAGTTTAAGAGAGAGAAAGAGGGGAGGAGATTGGGTTAGATCCTGGACGACCTTTATGCTGTGATACGGTTTTACCTTGTAAGGCAGCCTTTGCTCCTCAAAGTGTGAAGGAAGTGGTCGCCCCTGGACCAGCAGCATCAGCCTTCACTTAGGAACTTGTAGGAAATGCAAATTCTTGGACTTATCTCAAACATACCGAATTAGAAACTCTGGAAGTCAGGCCCAGCAATCTGTGTTTTATACTCTTCAGGTGATTCTGCATTACACTACACTTTTTTTTTTTTAATTGTGGTTAAATATATGTAACAAAATCTGCCATTTTAAGCATTTTTTGTCTTCTTTTTAGAGACAGGGTCTCGCTCTATCACTCAGGCTGGAGTGCAGTGTTGCAATCATAGCTCACTGTGGCATCGAAATCATGGGCTCAAGTGATCCTCCTGCCTCAGCCTCCCATGGGGTTGGGACTACAGGCATGCCCCACCACACCTGGCTAATTTAAAAATTTTTGTAGAGATGGGGGTCTTGTTCTGTTGCCCAGGCTGGTTTCCAACTCCTGGCCTCAAATGATCCTCCTGCCTCAGCCTCCCAAAATGCTGGGATTACAGGCATGAGCCACTGCACCTGCCCATTTTACAATTCAGTGTCATTCACTGAAGTTTTTAAGAAGTACTGGTGTAGGTAATGGAAGGCTATCAAAAGAGCCTTTTCGTTAGTGTACTGTGTTGACAATCTGAACGCAAAAAGACAGCTTAGTATTAAGAGAGGACAGGATTTTGCAGTAGTTAGGTAATAGTTGATGAGAGCATAAACTGTTCCCAGTGGCATTGGGAATAGAGAGGAACAGATAGAACACCACAGGAAAGGAAGAGATTGTTTAGGTAGGCAAGGAGGGGAGATCCTTTTGAACTTGTTGGGTTTAAGGTGTCTGTGGGACATCAAGTGGAGATGTGGCTTAGAAATGTATATGGGAAGGTATTATGATATAGGTGGAATCTAAAGCAAAGGGATGAACTTTTCCTGTAACAAAAAGTGTGTGAGAAATGGGCTAAGGATGGAACATGGAAAACATAGAAGGAAATAAATGATTGGAGATAAAAGGAGACTGATATTATAGAAATCAAGGAAGTAAGATGTTTCCCGAAAAATGGGATGATCAGCATATCAAGTGCTACAAGTGTGTTCAATAAGAAATTAACTTAGAGGCCGATTCGTTTTGTTACAACCTTAGCAAGAGTAATTTTAGATGGTATGTGAGAGTATAGACCATATTGTAGTGGGATATTAGCAAGCAGAGATAGTTGATATACCCTATTCTATGAAGGGACAGGAAGAAAATTTTATTAGATTTATAGTAACATAATAACATTAAATACTATCCAAATAACTTTTTTTTTTGTCTTTTTACTTTCACCCAAAGTTTTGACTTTCTAAATATTTTTCCACCTTAATTTTGTTTTCCTTTGGCAGCTATGATTTATTTCTATTTTGTGGCTTTACCTTTAGGTGTGCTGTTTTGTGTAGGTGGTCGAGGTGGATCTGGTGACCCCTTTCGCAGTATTGAATGCTATTCTATCAACAAAAACAGTTGGTTCTTTGGACCAGAAATGAATAGTCGAAGGCGACATGTGGGTGTAATCTCTGTGGAAGGTGGGTCCACTTTGAAATATCACATGATCACAGTGCTCTTTTAAAAATATTTCAACTTTGATAATTTATTTTTTATATAAGAAAATGACTAAATTGTAAATTATTTTTAAATAAAATGCTTGGTTAGTGATAATTTACTTGCTTTGTGCCACAGATGCTCAGTGCGCATAATGTGGAGATGAATATCAGAGAAAAGAGATATAAAGAGTTAAAATAAACTATTCTGAGTTATATAGTTACCAAAAAACTAAACCAAGGAAAAATGTTTATTGAACCCAAATTATAATTATGTATCAGTTTTTTTAATACCCATCTTATTTTAATACTCATTCCTGAAAATGAATTAATTGTAGAATCATGGATAAATTGTCAGAAAACTCTAAAAGGTCACTTTTTTATTATAAAAATATAAATGAATTTTTAACAATAAAAAAAATTTTCATAAAAAATGAAAACCGCTTGCAACACAAACACCCAGAAATAGTCACAGTTAACATTTTGGTGCACAGTCTTTCCTGTCTTTCTCTGTGTATTTTTGTTTGTATCATCTAGGAAAAAAGTTGATCATATTAACAGTTTTATGGAGATTGAGGAGGGAGGATCATTTGAGCCTGGGAGTTCAAGACCAGCCTGGGCAACGTAGGGAGACCTCGTCTTTACAAAAAAATTTAAAAATTTAGCCAGATGTAGTAGTGCATGCCTGTGGTCTCAGCTACTCAGGAGGCCAAGGTGGAAGGATCACTTGAGCCTAGGAGTTTGAGGCTGCATTGAGCAGTCATAATGCCACTGCACTCCAGCCTGGGTGACAGAGCAAGACCCTGTCTCAAAAAGAAAAACCAAACAACAAAGAAGTTTTGTGTGTGTGTGTGTGTGTGTGTACATGCGTGCGCACACAAACCAGTTTATATATATGTATTTTTTGTTTTGTTTTGTTTTGTTTTTTGTTTTTGAGATGAAGTTTCGCTCTTGTTGCCCAGGCTAGAAGGCACTGGCGCGACCTCAGCTCACTACAACCTCCGCTTCCCGGATTCAAGCAATTCTCCTGTCCCAGCCTCCTGAGTAACTGGGATTACAGGCTTCCACCACCGCGCCCGGGTAATATTTTGTATTTTTAGCAGAGACAGGCGTTCACCATGTTGGTCTCGAACTCCTGACCTCAGGTGATCCACCTGCCTTGGCCTCCCAAAGTGCTGGGATTACAGGCATGATCCACCCTGCTCAGCCACCAGTTTTATATGTTAAAATATAACCTAATAAGAGCGTTTTTCCATTTTATTAAGCATTCTTTGAAGGCATGATTAGTGATTTCACTACCAAGTAATAAAAAGTTGGGAAACCTAAAAGGGGCGATAAATATTAGAGCATTTACTAATAAATAACTTCATGTAGAACAGCATGTTTAGTGCAAGCTTACATTGATTTTTCATTCAACTACTGAAATGACATTGATGATAATGTTGAACAGAACAACAATTGTTGAAAATTAACTTATGGTGACATTTTAATTATACAATGTTTATATATGTAACATTAATGTTATGAATTTATTTATTTGGAGTCAAATGAAAATACTTCTCTATTTGACAGGTAAAGTGTATGCAGTAGGTGGACATGATGGAAATGAACATTTAGGTAGCATGGAGATGTTTGATCCTCTCACTAATAAATGGATGATGAAGGCATCAATGAACACAAAGAGGTAGATCAGCATGGAAAGTTATTTTGAACTGATGGTGGAAATAAGGTTTCTTAAAATTTAAAGGCCTTATTTTAAACTTTTTTTTCTACTTTAGAAACTTTAAATACCTTCTCAAACACATTTTGTTAGCATGTCCAAGGTGATACTTTGTTACCGCCTTTTATTTTTTTTAAGAATTAAAAATGCAGTCATGTTTTAGAGTACCGTATGGTAGTCACAGTTTTCACTTACACATGAGCATTGATTTTTAAAACTTTTTATTTTGAGATAATTTTAGTTTATTCAGAGAAGTTGCAAAAATATTAAAGTTTCTGTGTACCAGTGGTTCTCAACTGAAGATGATTTTGCCTCCTCTGTGGGACACTTGGCAGTGTCTGGAGACATTTTTGGTTGTCACAGCGTGGAGATGGGAAAATTGCTGCTAGCATCTATGGGAAGAAATCAGAGATGCTACTAAAGATTCTACAGTGCACAACAAGGATCTTCTAGCCCAAATGCCAGTGGCAAAGATAATGCCAAATGCCAGTGCTGAGATGGCAAAACCTTGCCACTTACCCTGCCCCTGGCTTCCCATAATGTTAACATGTTACACAGCCATAGTGGTTATTGAAATTAGCATTGATACAGTACTATTAATCTGTAGACTTTTTGGGTCATTTTCCCCACACATCCTTATGCTTTTTATTGATTTTTCTTGTCTAATTGTATTGCCTAATAATCTAATACAGGTGAATAGTGGCAGAGACAGTAGATGTTTTTGTCTTGTTCCTGATCTTATCAGAAAAGTATCTAGTGTTTTGCTATTAAGTAAGATACTGACTTTAGGACTAAGGTATCTATATTTTTATCATGTTAAGAAAATAGTCCTCAATTTCTCTTTTCTTCATTGATTTTTATCCTGATGAGCAGTAATATTTTAAGTTATTGCTTACATATTTATGTGCTCATTTACATATTTATGTTCTAATATTTATATTCTCATCAACATAAACTGGAATATATGTTGATTAATGTATCAGTCTAAAGGGGAGATTTTCAGTAACATACTTAGTACTCTAACCTGCTTGACACTTTCATTAATGACTTGAATACCAAATTTTTAGATATCCTAAGGTGGAAAGATCACTAAGGCATGTGACCAAATTAGGATTCCAAAGACAGAGTAGACCACATATACTCTAGACAAAAACCTAAAAAAATGTTAAAATGAGAGTTACTGGTTAAAACCTGCCTTAGGTATTTTAAAAACTCAATCACATGAGCACAACATAACATGGTGGGAAATCAGGTTTTTGTTTCAAATGGAGAAAAGTACCTGAACCATTATGAAACACAGCTCTTAAAAAAAAGAAAGGAAAAAAGTGAATAGGATATAGTTGCCTACATTAAAAAAAGTGAAACCTTAGGTTAAGGGAGTTTGTAGTTTTATTGTTCTTGACACTGATCTCTCCGTATCTATAGCTGTGTTGTTGAAGTAGGATATATAACACCAGTAGGGGTATGAGAATAAAAGATTAGAGTCTCTGTACATTTTTAAAAATTTATTTTGGGTGGATGTTTTATAATGAACATAACTTGTTAGTACACTAATGTGTTTATAATTTGAAAATAAGATATATAGAAGGTGCACAAAAATGGATTGTTATAAATGTGAGAATGATAATCTGGAATGCATGTAAGAAAATTAGTAGGTTAGTAATACATCTGAAAACCATGTTGTCTACAAAAAATAGTTGAAGTGTTATGATCTGGAGACAAGAAAACTTACAGGAGTAACTAGATATTGTAAGAGGTGTATGTTGCTTTCATAGGAAGGAATAAATATTTATTTATGATTCAGTATATTAGCAGTGAAGCATACTGTAATTCCTCCCAGTGTCTGGAATTGTATTGTCAGAAAGATCACATATATTTTGCACCAAATGGGAGATTAAATTTTATTGTCTATTATTTTTCTTTTTCAACTTTATTGTTCTGTAAATGGCATGAGGATTTCAAAGATTGAGCTTAATAATTTATATGAAACTTGAGAGTAGAATAATTCTGCCTCTGTGTCAGAGTGAAAATATAATGCAAGAAGAGAGAAGAGGGCTATCTTAGTAAATATTGACAATATCGCTAAAGAGCTTCTTTTAATAAAACTGCAGGTGGGCTGGTCACAGTGGCTCAGGCCTGTAATCCCAGCACTTAAGGAGGCCGAGATGGACGGGTTACCTGAGGTCAGGAGTTTGAGACCAGCCTGGTCAACATGGCCAAACCGTGTCTTTACTAAAAATACAAAATTAGCTGGGCATGGTGGCGAGTGACTGTAATTCCAGCTGTTCGGGAGGCTAAGGCATGAGAATCGCTTGAACCCAGGAGGTAGAGGTTGCAGTGAGCTGAGATTGCACCATTGCACTCCAGTCCGGATGACAAGAGCAAAACTCAGTCTCAAAACAAAAAACCTGCAGGTGATATATATATATATATATATATATATATGACATATAATGATACATACCTTAATATATATAAATGTATCACCCACGGTTTAATTAAAAGACACAAACCTGAACTAGTAAAACCATACCTCAGACATTGTGGCTTATATGGTTGGCAAATTAGCACCATTCTGTAAGAGTTAAAAATGACTTGTTATCAAAATGAGCAATTAAAAACTAAACCACACATGGGGATATGTTGCCTCTAATTTTCTGTTTTTGAATAATATGACAATGTTTTCAACTAGTTTTTGCTTCATGTGTTAAAATATGAAAGATTGAAAAGAAATGTGAAGACATTTTAAGGTTTTTTCCCCCTCGTGAGAAAGAATCCTAGAAAAAAAAAAAGCTAGTCTTAAACTGTTATCTCCCACTGTCTACAAATGACATTTTAATACTTTAATAGGGAGTGATTTAATAGGGAGTGATTTATACTATGTGATAACTACAATGTGAGCTATACAGAGGCAGAGACATTGGCTATGTTTTTTACTGCTGGTAGCAAAAAACAAAGTGGTATCTTTACCACTTGGTATGTCTTGTGGTGGGCATTTACAACTTTTTTGTTGAATAGGTAAGTGAATCTTTAGACATACTGTCATGATGGGTTTCAACAGACTCACAGCTTGAACAAACATCGGTGTCCATTTCAGTGGAAAGATGAAATAAAAAAATAAAGATAACCGATATTTCACATGTGAAAATTTATTGAAATGCATACTAAAAAGATGATTTGGGGGTATATAAATTATAAACAAGTAATATGACAAAATAATTGTAGCTCTATTATTTTTCACACAGATTGTAAATGCTCAGGGCATGTTTTAAAAGATTACAGAAATTCAACTGCTGTTTTACTAGAGAAGTTTCATCCAATCTTTGGCAAAAACCGACATAATAACAGAGATACAAGGATTAAAAAAGTACTTTGGGATTTTTATCTCCCATTTTATAGGATCAGATTTCTCTTTTCAGAGAACTTCTGCATACAAAATGGAGAGTGAAAACAGTCTGACAGACCAAAAAGAGTTACTGTAATTCTTCATCCCTTGATGTAAAGAAATAATGGTGGCTTGGACTATACTGATAGAAATTGAGATAGAGAATAGAAGTCATATTTGAAAGATAGTTCAGAGGTGTAGAGTCAAAAAGACTTTATGATAATTAGAAAGAACAATTAGATAGAGGCAAAGATGATTCTTCAGTTTCTGCCTTTAGCAACTGGATAGGTAGTATGATTTCTGAATTAGGAAAGCAACATGGTGAACGGGATAAAATTTTTGCTTGTTTTGTGATGGGGGTGTATTAATTTTCTGTGTCTGTGTAACAAATTGCCACCAATTTAGCAGCTTAAAATAGCACCCATTTATTAGCTCACAGTTCAAAAGTGATACAGATTTTGCTGGGCTTTCTACTTAGGGTCCCACAAGGCCAGAATCAAGAGGTTGGGCTAGGCTTTTATCTGGCGGCGCTGGGGAAGAAGCCACTTCCAAGGCCATTTAGGTTATTGATAGAATTGTGGCTATAGGACTGAGTTTCTCATTTTTATTGGCTGTTGGCTACGAGACTCTGTCAGATCCTTTCCACATGTCACCCCCCCACACCTTCAAACAAATAGTGGCACACTGCATTCACCTGGTTTTTTGAATTTCTGACTACCAGCTGGAGAAACCTCTCTGCTTTTGAAGGTTTGTTTGATTAGATTAGGCCCACGAAGGTCACCTCCGTTTTGCCATATAATGTAGCATAATCATGAGAGTAACACCAGGGGCTGAAGGTCATGGGGGATGGGGAGTATCTTAAAATTCTGCCGTCACAGGGAGGTGGGCAGTGAGTTTCATTTCAGATTAAAGTTAAGGTTGAAGAACCAGCAAGACAGATTTGAGGTAGAAATTGGGTATATGTCTGAAAATATATATCTGAATTATCACACATCTGTGGAAAGAATGGGATTGCTTAGGGAGAGAAGGTATAGAGTGACCCTTAGGGAACTTTATAATTTAATGATGGAGTAAAGAAGGCACTGATAAAGGAAGCTGAAAAGCACTAGCCAGATAGGAGTGGATGTGTGATGTGTGTGATGTTATGATGTTATGAAAATGTGTGATGTTATGAAATGTGTGATGTTATGAAAACGAAGACAGTTTTGAGGAGTAAGAAGTAAGCCAATAATGTTGTCTGCTTTTGTTGTTTGAGGGGAGGGACAATTATTAGGCACACTTACTTTATTTCCCTGACCTAACATCCTTACACTCTAGAGAACACACGTACTTGTTCTCACACAGCTGAACATTTTTATAAGCACAGTATGTGGTAAGTCATAGCTTTATACCCAAGAGAAAAGAGGTTGAGGAGACTGAAAGTGAATGATAACATTATCCTTAATAATTCTTTTGTTGGATACTCTCTGGTAAATTTAGAGTTAGAATCTCAGTGAAGCAGCTGCTTTCTCAGTAATAATAAAAGCTAATACTTCATAGCACTAAATATGGGCCAGACATTGTTCTTAGTGCTTTACGTGTATTAACTCATTAATATCAGCTATGTCTCAGATGAGACATAAGGTAGTAGAGGTTTATAAATTATCCAAGCTAGTGACAAAATAATAGTTTGATAATAGTTCAACTTTTGATTGGTGCAATGTGTTTTTTAAGAAATTGAGTTTTTTTCTGATCACTGTTAAATAAATCAGCTTTTAACATGGGCTAAGTCTCTTACTTTCAAAGAGAAGTAAATACCCTTCAGAAATAAAGGAATGTGACATACAACCTGTAATATAAAATTTAATATTCTTTTGTGTGGTATAATGAAACCCTGCAACAAAATGAGCTCTGTAATTGCATGGATTTGTAAGTGAGATTGGCTTCTGACCTCCACTGCAAAACTTCTCTGTCAACTCATTAACCTCTCCAGTATGCAACTGTGTGTGCACTAATTGAGTATTTTGGACTCTTTTATACTATTTTGTTGGGTTACATTTTATTGTTTTGAGTTTAAAGTAGCCTGTGTAGGCTATGCACTGTTCAACTTTAGGGGGCAGTATTCACATAGAGTTGCAGTTTGGCAATTCTGTAGCCATCTAGTCAAAAGCTTTTATAAATCTAAAGATAATGGAAACAAACTATACTGTTTGAAGGTTAACATGATAAATGATTTGCATTAGCACAATATTTTATATGACTTTTTTCCTGGAAACAAACCCATTTGCTAAAGTATGTTTTATTGTCTTTGCAGGCGAGGAATTGCCTTGGCTTCCTTAGGAGGCCCAATTTATGCAATTGGAGGGTTAGATGACAATACTTGCTTCAATGATGTGGAGAGATATGACATAGAATCTGATCAGTGGAGTACAGTGGCACCAATGAATACTCCCCGTGGAGGAGTTGGCTCTGTTGCTCTAGTAGTAAGTTATATGGCAACTTGCCATTAAGTTACATTGTATCACATTCATAACCAAAATAAGGAAAGGTCTAATATATCATCACCAGTATGAAGATATTATATACCATATTATTTCATGAGATACTGCCTTGTACCTTCTAATTTACCATTAGAACAATATGTAAGTAAATTCAAAATCTAATGTGTTTTGTTTGACTCTCTTCGTTTAGAACCATGTTTATGCAGTAGGTGGCAATGATGGAATGGCTTCTTTATCTAGCGTGGAGAGATACGATCCACATCTGGATAAGTGGATAGAAGTTAAAGAAATGGGTCAACGAAGAGCAGGCAATGGAGTTAGCAAGCTTCATGGTTGCTTATACGTAGTTGGTGAGTAAATGGGTATTACTCTAATATATCAGTATATACAATGACAAGTGTCATATAACAGAGTAACAAAAATTACATTGCATTTAGCCTTAAGTAGAATCAGTGCTGAAATGTGCTTTTGAATTCTTTCTTATAAAACTTTTGTTTTTTGTTTTTTGCTTTTTTTTTTTTTTTTTTTGAGATGGAGTCTCGCTCTGCCGCCCAGGCTGGAGTGCAGTGGCTGGATCTCAGCTCACTGCAAGCTCCGCCTCCCGGGTTACGTCATTCTCCTGCCTCAGCCTCCCGAGTAGCTGGGACTACAGGCGCCCGCCACCTCGCCTGGCTAGTTTTTTGTATTTTTTTTAGTAGAGACGGGGTTTCACTGTGTTAGCCAGGATGGTCTCGATCTCCTGACCTTGTGATCCGCCTGTCTCGGCCTCCCAAAGTGCTGGGATTACAGGCTTGAGCCACCGCGCCCGGCCAAAACTTTTGTTTATAATTAACAGAGAAGAATGGTACGTGTTCAGTCTGATGCTTTTGAATTCTTTTTTTTTTTCTTTTTTAGAGGGAGACAGTGTCTTTCTGTTGCCCAGGCTGAAGTGCAGTGGCACAATCGTAGCTCACTGCAGCCTTGAAATCCTGGGCTCGTGATCCTCCTGGCACAGCCTCTCAAGTAGCTAGGACTACAGGCCCATGCTATCACACCCAGCCACATTTTTTCTATTTTTTGTAGAGATGGGTCCTTGCTGTGTTGCCCAGGCTGGTCATGAACAACTGGCCTTAAGTGATCCTCCTGCCTTGGCCTCCCAGAGTGCTGGGATTACAGGCATGGGCCACCATGCCTAGCTGAATTGTTAAGGTCACATTCATAATTTTTGTTTAAGTCTTCATCTTTCATGTTTAAAACGTACAACCTTATTTTTCTAAGAGTAATAAAGTTATTTAAAGAAGGAGATTACATTTAAATAAGGTATATGTTTTCAAATGGAAGGACACAGATAGAATGTGCTTTGCTACAATAAATTTTAAAAGGTCTAAGATTTGTTTTTCTCAGCCTCATTTCAAGGGAAATTATGTTGAATGCTTCAAGTAAGCCAGTAGGTATTTATTTATTTATTTTTGAGATGGAGTTTTGCTCTGTCACCCAGGCTGGAGTGCAGTGGTGTGATCTCAGCTCACTGCAATCTCTGCCTCCCATGTTCAAGCGATTCTCCTGCCTTAGCCTTCTGAGTAGCTGGGATTACAAGTGTGTGCCACCACGCCCAGCTGATTTTTGTATTTTTAGTTAAGACAGGGTTTCATCATGTTTGCCAAGCGGATCTCGAACTCCTGACCTCAAGTGATCTGCCTGCCTTGGCCTCCCAAAGTGCTGGGATTACAGGCATGAGCCACCGCACCTGGCCTAGGTATTTCATATAAATAAAGGTCATGTCAATGTTTATATTGCCTTTTTTTTTTTTTTTTTTAATTTACTTTAACAAGCTTTTATTACCAAACCCCATGCAGGGTTAATGCTTTAACCCACCTAACAGCAAAAAAAAAAAAAAAAAAAAAAAAATGGCATTGCTAACAAGATCAAGGATAAAGGTACAGACCCAATAAAGATTGTGTCTTGAAAAAGAAGGATATATATATATAAAATATATATATATTTTTTCTTTAAAACTCTCCAGTGTTGCAGAAAAAAATATTATAAAGTGATTTCAGTCCATAAAAAACAGCATGTAGCAAGTTTGTGCTATCTTAAAAACCCCAACTCAGGATAACCCTAGGAGAAAATCACCTCCCCCCATTAAAGAAGATTCTCTTTTCTATTCTTTCTTGTCTAAATTTCACTGCTTATTCCACGAAATGCCCAAAGAATAACAAGACTCAGCTCACATCCCTCGGCCCTTGTCTGTTAAGACCAACACCAAGGGCTCTTCCTTAGGAGTCTTCACCTCTGCTACACTCAGAGAATTGAGCCCTAATTTCAGGGCCAGTTTTCTAGAAACCTACAAAACCTTCATACTTCCTTCAAGGAAGGACCTGAAGGCCCCTTGAAAGATCAAGGGGGCAGTGTACTTGGCACAGACTGGAATGCCTGCCAGGCTGGGAAAAGGGAGCCTTTCTATGCAAAAATACCCCCTAAAACACTTTGTAGTTGAAAGTCCAACCAGGTGAAACCAAGTACCAGCGGGGAAACTATGGTTCTACCTAAAAGGTATACATCTTCCCCACTTTAACCATAAAGGTAAGGGGTCGGGGGGTAGCGGGATAAGGAGAGCCAAGTGAGCATTTGACCTCATCTGTCTTCTGAGAAGTCAGCATATTTTAGGCTGAAGCCATGTTGTAGAGACATTTGGCCAAAGGATAGCCTTTGCTATGTGTGGCTACATAAAGCTGCCATTTCTGGGCAACTTGGTTCATGGCTGCTTTATGGAAGCTTTACCGCTTGCGCAGAGTATTTAAGAATTAATAGGAAAATTTTCAGTTTGATTTTGTAAGTGACAAATACTTTAACAACAGCTTCTCAATAACCACCAATGGAGACAGGCTACGCCTCAGCTCAGGATCGTAGCTCTTTCCAGTCAGTGGGCTTCTTGCTAGACTTCTGCAGGAGCTCATTGGTCTTAGAAAATTGTCTACATCCAAAGAACCCTCTGTACACGGGGAGGAATGAGCCATCTGCAGCACATGGTGCTGCTTCCTGTGCATGGCACTGTCCTTCTTAGCATAAGAGCCCCAGAGCAGAAAGACAAGGCCATTCCAATTCTGATTTAGCCAGGACACAGCCGCATTGGTAAGTTGCTCCCAGCCTCCTCTTTCCTTATGAAAATTGGCTTGATGGGGCAGAACAGTGAGGACAGCCTGGAGTAGGAGAACACCTTATTTGGCCCACCCAGATAAATCTCCATGACCTGGATGAATAAAACCATCCATATCTATAGATGGCTCTTTATAAATGTTTTCCAAACCTGGCAGAGGTGGAACAGGTCTATGAACACTAAAGCAGCCCATGAACTTGATTCGGTCTCTGATATGGATCCTGTCCTGGGATGACAACCTTCACATCTCTTATGTCACACATCTAGATCCAGGTGAAGACTTAGTGTGGGGGTCGGTAAACAGTGTAATGTTTCCTTTCTTCTGCAGCAAACCTATTACCTTGATAAAAAACGTTTCCCAAACTCTGTTGAGATGCTGCTTCTAACTCTCACCAAAGCCCATGGACATGTTACAGGCCATGAGTCTGAGTAGGGCCGCAGCCTCGTTGCTCTGGATACTGACCAACTGCCCAGTGGCAAAAAGGGCAGCGTCTTGGGCTTGTCCTGTCTGGCTGGGGCCTTCTTGGCGGGACCGGCCCCTGCTTCCTCACTCTCCTCCTGCTGGTCCCCAGGTCATCCGTCTCAGGGCTGCAGGCACATTGCTTCCTGGCGGGGCTGCGGGAGCGAATGTGCACCACCTGGGGACTGCAAGACTTGCCCTGGCTGTAGTGTTCAGTAATTGGTCTATATTGCTTTTTGACTTACTGAATTGCAGAGTTGGGAGGAACATTAGATCAGTGCTTTCTCAGATCATAATGTGCATATGAATAATCTGGAGATCTTGTTATATTGCAAAGGAGGGGCCTAGTTTCTGTGTTTCAAACAGTTCTCAAGTTATAGTGATGCAGTTTCAGGTTCACACAACATACTTCCAGTAGCAAAGCTTTAAATGATTATGAAACGGGAATAATGCCTGTCTTTCAGAATCATTTTAAGAATTAGAGATAATACATGTTAAGCATCTCAAAGTGTGTCTGGCACTTTGTAGTTCCCCAATACATGATTAGCTATGTTGTGATTAGTAATACTTTCCTTTATAGAGGAGGAAATGAATTCAGAGAAGTCACTAGCAAAGGTCATATTTGTTCATATATGTTGATGTACTTGTTTGTGCTACTTAACATATTTCTTAGAATGCTGTGTTTAACATATTTCTTATAAGAGAACACATATAAATATCTATAAGTAGCAGAAGTAATGCTGAATCTTTCAGTGCTCATGTGTATTAAGGAAGAAGGGAAATAACATAATTTACCTCTACATCTTGCCTGATCATCACAACTGTAAGGTAGTCAAGAGACTCAGAGAAAATGAATAATTTACTCACGGTCACATGCATAAATAAATGGCAAAGCTGGAATTTGAACTTGGGTCTGTGAATCCAAAGTTCTTAGGTTACATCATTGCTACCTCTCACAGCTCCCTGTCTGCCACAGGCATTGACATATGTTATATGTCAACAGGAATAACATTGTTGCTGTTACTTTTTTAATCTTTTGGACCCTTATAATTAGAACAGACATGGTAAAAATTAAGAATGATTCAGGTTGAACATTAAAAAAATCTTAGTCATTCAAGTTCTACTTAAAACAGGTACAACTGATCTGAATAAGAAAAATTTGAAGGTGTGGGCATGTCTAACATCCTAATTGCATTTTACTTTTTCTATCCCTGGTTTGAATTCTTCATTATAATATGTTTTTATGCATTATCTGGGGAAATGATAGGGAACTAGTGAAAAAGAAGACTATGGAAAAAGACTATATAAAATATAACTATCAAAAACTTGGTCAGGTGCAGGGATTACCCGGGTAATCCCAGCATTTTGAGAGGTGGAGGCAGGAGGATCATTTGAGGGCAGGTGTTCAAAACCAGACTGGACAACATAGTGAGACCTCATCTCTATTTTAAAAAAATAAAAAAAAAAATTAGCCAGGAGTGGTGGCATGTGCATATAGTTCCAGCTACTTGGGAGGCTGAGGTGGGAGGATTGCTTGAGCCCAGTAGGTTGACAGTGCAGTGAGCTGTGATTGTGTTACTGCACTCCAGTCTGGGCAACAGAGTGAGACCCTGTCTCAAAACAAAACAAAACAAAAAACAAATTTAAAAAACCCCTTAATCTTCTACATTAGCATGAGCAATAATTAAAACCAAACCCTTTATTATAATGAAAACATGTTTTATGTAATGGTTGTAATGGCAGTGACACTATACGTTTGTCAGAATTCATGGAAAGAATGCAGATAAAATTGGTGAATTTCATTTTAATTGATTTAATAAAATTAAACCCATTAGAGAAGTTGACTTGAATTTTTTTTTGTGACCTTGTTTTGTGTGTTTTTTTTTTTTTTGAGACGGAGTCTTGCTGTGTCGCCCAGGCTGGAGTGCAGTGGTGTGATCTCAGCTCACTGAAAGCTCCGCCTCCTGTGGGTTCACACCATTCTCCTGCCTCAGCTTCCCGAGTAGCTGCGACAATAGGTGCCCACCACCACTCCCGGCTCATTTTTTGTATTTTTAGTGGAGACGGGGTTTCATCGTTTTATTTAGCCAGGATGGTCTCCATCTTCTGACCTCGTGATCTGCCCGCCTCAGCCTCCCAAAGTGCTGGGGTTACAGGCGTGAGCCACCGTGCCCGGCCTCTGACTTTGTTTTTAAATAGATTGATCATAATATCAGCACTTTCTATTCTCAATAAATTAGGCTGTCACCAAAGAAAGCCATTATATTCATTTAGACTTGGAGCCTAAAAAGAAACACACTTGTTTTTAAAGGAAGGAGCACTATTGAAATAACTGTGTCTATAACTCAGGAATAGATTAAGTACATTGTTAGAATGAGCTATAGAAAGGACTGCTATCTTCTAGAATATGTAGCAGGAAAATGTTGTTTTGGCAAAAATTGGTGAGAATTCAGTCATAGTCCATCTCTGTAATTATGATGGCGATTATAGTATTAAGGGAAACAATTGGAAAACTTTAACTTTTATCTGGATGAATCACATGATTCAGTTTATTCCTTTCTTATACCTTCTTACTGTTTAAGATATAATACACAGAGAAGGAATCTCAGTACTGTCTTGCTTGTCTCTAGATGGCTAAGGACAAATTTATGAATGTTTGTGTCTTGTTTTTTCTTTTTCTCTAAATTATCTGCTTAGATACAGGGACTCCAGTTTTTCCCTACTTAGAAGATCTTTAATCCTAGTGTTGAGGAAAATGTCACTTAATCTTACGTTGAATTGTAGACAGTGTCTAATAGTAGTTGTTGGTGGTAGACAGGTATTGGATGAATTTTTTTAAAAAATTTTCTCTAAACCATTCTAAAATGATTTTAAAAGATTGGGGTGTAAAGCCCATTGAATTGAAATTTAATAGTTAATTTCTAAGAAATGTAATGCTGTTTTTAAATTATTTCTTTACATAGGTGGTTTTGATGATAATTCTCCTCTGAGTTCAGTTGAGCGGTATGATCCCCGAAGCAACAAGTGGGATTATGTGGCAGCACTTACTACCCCCAGAGGTGGAGTGGGAATTGCAACAGTGATGGGCAAAATCTTTGCAGTTGGTGGTCATAATGGCAATGCATACTTAAATACAGTAGAAGCATTTGATCCAGTGCTGAATAGGTAATTTACATGTTGTCTCTGTGCTTTATAGTATCTTCTGGTACAATAGTAGATTACTCCAGAGTGTTAGAATGTTGCTAGTCGTAGTTAATACTAAGCTTTGGGATATCTTATCTCCCACTGGAAGCTTGCTATCCTTCAAAACCAGTCCCACATAGGGAATTTTTGTCTTTAGTTAGTATTTTGAGTAAAGTAAATTATGCTTTGTTTTAAGATAACATTTTATCTTCTCTGTCTTTTCAGGTGGGAGCTTGTTGGATCTGTGTCTCACTGCAGAGCTGGAGCAGGCGTAGCTGTGTGTTCCTGTTTAACTAGCCAAATTCGAGATGTAGGTCATGGATCCAATAATGTGGTTGACTGTATGTGATTTGAGTTCTGGCCACCAACAATTTAGTCATATCTGATAGGTACAAAAGAAAACCAAGATTTTGATATGACCACCTTTCAACACTTTTTACTACAACTAGAGTCTTATGTAAACGTTAACTGATGTATTGTGACTAAGTACAACTTTTGGAATGATACCTGAAGAATTATTAGTAATAGAATTAAATTTGATATTTCCTGCTTTTGCAAAAAATGGAGTAGGGAAGGAAGACAGTTGAACTTAAAACCATACCTACCCTGAAAAATGCTTAAAGTAGTGCCAGAAATCTTGAAATCTCTCTCTCTCTCTTTTTATGTGGATGAATCAAAATGTAATTTGTTGAGTTTTGCCCTTTCTTTTGCCTAGAGATGTTAACTTCAGGCAGTGGAGTTTTCCTAGGGGAGAGATTAGTACCTATTCATTAACACAAGGATACATAAAAGACTTGCCCCTTTTGAAGATCATTTCTACTTGGTGCTGATGCATTTATGTCTTGCTTTTTTTTTTAGGTGGTGATTTTTCAATTTCTTTTATATTTACAGAAGTAGAAAAAATGTTCTGTCTTTTTGAGTGCCACTTGGCTGCATTTTCAGAAGCTTATAGGCTATAAGAAACCTTTAATTTCAGTTTGAATTGCTAGGACACCAAAAGACCTAGCTGGGCTAACACCATCCAAATGATTTTACAGTTTTATTTTTTCATCTTTTGCAAGAAGTATTTGTTACATAATCAAAAGGTGAACCAGAGGAAATATTGAATAAGGTTTTAGATGTGATGTTAGTCTGGCGCCCAGTTGAGAGACCTTGAGAAAGAATGATGCAGATTACATGACTCTAATGTGGGCAGTCTGAAAATATCTTTAACTCTCTTCTTTGATCATTTGATTTTGGATCCAAGATTTATCAACTCTCTATTTTGCTATTTGCCACCATCCTGGTTTTTCTGACTGTACAGAATCTGCATTTACTTATTATCAGAAATGAATGCATTTTTACAAAAACCCTTTTGTAGACTGTAGTTTATTGATTAGTTCAAGCCCATCATGAGCCAATTAAAAATATTGTTGGTAAAAACAGATTGAAATTACTGTTTTTATCATATTTAAATCCCTCTGGTGTATTTATTGAAATTTAATTAAAAATATTTCTACATATCGATTTGAAGCCAGGATATTGATGGAAACAGCTCTTCAAAGTTTTAACTAGCATTGTAAAATGGCCTATTCATTATATGTATTTTTTTATAAGTATTTAGCAAGAACATGAAAATGTTTTATTTTGTATTTGCAGTGCAATTTGGCACCTCTCTTCCAGGTCTTCCTAAGTTTTTGTTAGTTGTGTCTTTGAATTTATTGTACTTCACTGCTCGTCAGTTATCTGGTTCATAAGGAAGCGGGGGCAGTGAAAAACACTTCCTTGATCCATCCAGCCCTAAAGTTCATTGACTGATAGCTCATGTATCTTATTAAATGGGATTCTGGACTTGTATAGTAGTGTGGAAAGCCACATCACAAAAGCCAGTGCCTATTGAGTATATCAAACCAAAAAAAGAAAAAAAAAAAGTTTTAAGAGGGGTCAGGCTGGCAGATAAAATCTCTTATGAAGCAGATTTAAATCCAGTAAGCTATTTTTTTCTACTGTCACCTATAGGCAAGTTCATAAGTCATTGCTGGATCTGAACCAGTGTTCTCTTGTGTCAGTACAACCATATTTCAGTCAGTCCAGAGGCAGTTAACCCTGTAGCACTTAGTAGACTGTGACAACTGGCTGGATGTGGAGAATAAGTGTCAAAACCTGGCTTCAATGTCTATTTCTCATGTCTAATGGAGTTCTTAAACAGTGCTTGTTTAGCTGTGGTTACTAATATGTTTGTTATATTTATTTTTGGGAAGAGGATCTTGTTATTGTTTCCTGAGATTATTTAAAATGTTTTTGCTTTGACATATTTCTGTCTTTTGTTATATGTAAGGAGTTATAAGGGTTATTATATTTTCATTTCTGGTTTTTACTATACAGTGGTTATCTAACATACTAAGTTGGAACCCTACCTACCCATAAAATATGAAATACTCAGAAGTAAAGTGTATGGGCAATCAGAAGCATAGCCTTGAAGGACCTGACACCAGTATGAAAAGATAAATAGGCCAGGCATGGTGGCTCACACCTGTAATCCCAGCACTTTGGGAGGCTGAGGTGGGTGGACCACCTGAGGTCAGGAGTTCAAGACCAGCCTGACCAACATGGTGAAACCCTGTCTCTAGTAAAAATACAAAAATTAGCCAGGCGTGGTGGCACATACCTGTAATCCCAGCTACTCGGGAGGCTGAGGCAGGAGAATTGCTTGAACCCAGGAGGTGGAGGTTGCAATGAGCTGACGTTGCGCCATTGCACTCCAGCGGGGAAACAACAGTGAAACTCCATCTCAAAAAAAAAAGAAAAAAAGGTAAATATAATCAATATGTGCACAGTTCTCTTTATCAGGCAAAAACACATTTATTGAGACATGAAATGAGAATCAGGCTGAAGGAATCATGCAGCTGAAAGCTGATTATAGTCATAGAAATGAAGAGATGAAATATTCAAATATTCATTCAAAGAAGATGGCTACTTTATTGTGAGACTTACCACTTTAACCTCATATGTTAACAGCACCTACCAAAAAATGATATGAAATAGAGCTAAAATACTGAAATTGTAAATGGTCAAAAGAAATCATGAAAATGTATGTGTTATTTCTTCAATAAATATTTCTAGGTGCTTTGTGATTCTTTCATTTAGTCGTTAAAGCCATTGCTTTACTATATTGCACTGCCACTTTAAAAACAAGTTACTTGATATTGTTTTTGACGGATTTCACTATATTCTTATGTAATTAATTGATTATTTCTAAAATATTTGAATAAACTTTATACTCCCTCTAAGGAGTATTTTATTCATTCTTTTAATTCCCCAATGAACTTTGAACTTACAGTGCTGTTGAATGCCTCGGTAAGGACTTGTTGAAATTGCATAAACTGTTCTTGTAAATGGTAAACTTGAGAATTTTGTTTGCTTCTTTTTTCTCTATGTCTTAAAGAATGCCTTTAGAATCTAATTCATGTTGTATCAGTTAAGAATGTTTCTGTGGTTTCTCATATCAGATGTGTAAAGAAATTATTATTGGGGTGCTGTTGGCTATGTCTCTTTCCCCTTCATGTAAAATTCCAAGTGTCAGTAAAACTTCTCTATAATATTTTCGTAAAACCATTTATAAATTTGTGTTACAATACTCCAGCAAATCAATGTAATAAATGGTCATATATATCACCAATTATTGATATCAAAAAGTTGGGGTCACATCAGTGCTATTTATTTAATTAAAATATATTGCATATTTCTATTAGCACAAACTTCTTTCTGTAAGGTCTGTGTAACTGCTTCTCATCATTATTTGATTGCTGTTGTGGGATCCTGTCAAAACTGTGTAATTGTTTATTCTCCATTCCTCAAATACAAAATTCAGTAGGTTGGCTGTATTTTTCTCCTTATATGAAGGATCTTTATGTTTAACTGAAAATTTTAGAAAGCTTTCCGTTTTCCCTTACAAAAATGAAAGGTTGAAGGTAACTGATGTAAGTAGTTTCACTGATCTTAAGTAGTTATCTCTTCAGTAATTGCAGACTTGTACTATATAGAAATGAGACTACGCATTAGGATGACTGTTGTCCTTCCAAGTAGAAACCTTGCAAAGTTGTAGCTTCTGCAAAGTTATAGCTGTTTTAAAAAAATTAAGGTTGCCATTGCTAAAACTTCTTTTGAAACTCATCTTTGAAAATAGCCTGAAGAGATCATTTGTAAGTCACTCACAAGAATTAGTCTCATCATAGTCATGTGTTAATTTTGACCAAAATCTTGATTATTCATCAAACATGATTGAAAATATTTCATGTCTATTTTCATAGATAAAATCTACTTTCAAAGAATTAAGGTTTTTCCTCTACTGGTAAAAATGTTTTCAACACTAAACAGTTTGAATGAAATATTTCTAAAAATCATCCTGAGCAATGGCAAGGTCAGTGAAAGAAGTGTATAGTCTCTTTGAGGGGCAACCTTATTTGAATGCAGAAATTCTGGTGTGTTTTTTGTTGTTTTTAACAAGTCACTCTTCCATTATCTTAGTGGTTTGAGGCTAAGTTCAGTAGAATATAAGGGGTTTCTTAGTTATGAGTAATAGTCATGGGGAGTATTAGCTATCATTTAAAAAATATATCGCCTGTACCAGTCACTTAGTAATTCAGTACTTTACAGTTTAAAAATTAGGTTCAAAAGTTAAAAAAAAAAATAGGTTCAAAGACATTAAATAACTAGTCCAAGATCACAACTAAGTTAGTGATTGACTAATATTCTTTGTGATTAAAAAACTCAACTGCCCCACCTATATCAGTTATATACATCTGCATTCACTAGGTAATACAGAATACATACATTAAGAAAAGATAATTTCCTTTTTTTATAGTCTCTTCTTAGTGGTATGAAAGTATTTCTGGTCACTACATTTCTCCTGTCGTCGTCGTCGTCGTCGTCGTCGTTTTTGAGACAAGAGTCTCTGTTGCCCAGGCTGGAGTGCAGTGGCGTGATCTCGGCTCATTGCAACCTCCTCCTCCTGGGTTCAAGTGATTCTCCTGCCTCAGCCTCTTTTTTTTTTTTTTTTTTTTTGAGACAGTCTCACTCTCCCAGGCTGGAGTGCAGTGGTGTGATCTTGGCTCACTGCAACCTCTGCCTCCTGGGTTCAAGTGATTTTCTTGCCTCAGCCTCCTGAGTTGCTGGGATTGCAGCCACCACACCTGGCTAGTTTTTGTATTTTTAGTACAGATGGGGTTTCACCATGTTGGCCAGGCTAGTCTCGAACTCCTAACCTCAAATGATCCACCCACTTTGGCCTCCTAAAGTGCTGGGATTACAGGTATGAGCAGCTGTGCCTGGCCTGGTCACTGCATTTCTATAGGTAGTATTTGATGCATACATAAAAATATATGCAACACGAAGGCTTAATAATAAAATACCTATGAAGCCACCCACTAGGAACTGGAGCCTTTCTGGTGGTATTAACCCTACCTTTGTGTTCCCTCTCAATTCCAATCCCCAGCCTACTCTTTAGCAGTAACGACTACTTTGAATCTATCATTTATTTTGTTTTCCCCTTTTGCTTTTATACATATGTCCCATGGCTATATATTGTTTATTTTTGTGAGCTTTATAAAAAATAGTATCATCCTGGCCGGGCGTGGTGGCTCACGCCTGTAATCCCAGTACTTTGGGAGGCCGAGGTGGGCCAATCACGAGGTCAGGAGTTTGAGACCAGCCTGGCCAACAGAGTGAAACCCCATCTCTACTAAAACTACAAAAATTAGCAAGGCATGGTGGCACGTGCCTGTAGTCCCAGCTACTTAGGAGGCTGAGGCAGGAGAATTGCTTGAATCCAGGAGGTGGAGGTTGTAGTGAGCCGAGATCCTGCCATTGCACTGCAGCCTGGGCAACAGGAGATTCCATCTCAAAAAAAGAAAAAAAAAGTATTCTCTATGTAGTCTTATGTAACTTGATGTTTTTATGCAACAGGTTTATTTTTACAATTTATTTTGTTAAGTCTAGTTTTCACATTTTTGTTTGTTTTTTGCTTTTACAAATAATGCTGAAACGAACACTCATATCCAATTTTTTGGTGCTCATGTCCAAGAGTTTCTTTAACGTATGAACCTAGATTCAAAGTTGGTGGTTTGTGAGGCATGTGTCTGATCAGCTTTTATAACAATTTTACAAGATAATGCCAAGTTGTTTTCCAAACTGGTTGCACCGCTTTACAGTATGGTTTCTTATTTACTTGCTATCATAAGACCCAATTCTTTCCAATCTGGTAGGTGTAAAATGGTATTTTATTGTGGCTTTAAATTGCATTTTCCTTATGAATGTGACATCAATATAAAAAATGCATTTTTCTGATTATAATAAGTTAAAAATATTTTCAGTTTATTAGTCTTTCCTGTTTCTTCTGTGAAATATGTCTTGATGTCTTTTATTTTTCTATTTTTGCTCTTGTTTTTTATATTTAGGATATTGATATTTTTGTTGTTCTTTTGTACATATCTTCGTCTAGTTTGTGGCTTTTCACTTTGGGTTTTTTTGTAAACAAAACTTAATATATTCAAATGTGAGTCCTTTTTATGTTTTAAGAAATTTGTCCTATCCCAGGGTCATAGTTGTTTATAGTTGCTTCTGAAAATCAAAAAAGTATCTCAGTTTTTAGTCTGCCTGGAGTTGATTTGTGTATGTGTGATATAGATTTAAAATTTTATTTTTTTACTATATAGAAAATCAGTTTTCTCTGCACCATTTATTGACTAATGCATCCTTTCCTCAGAAGCTTTACTTACATGGAAATTTGCCATTGTAGCCAAATGTTTATTTGGGGGACTTCCTGTTCTGTTCTATTGGTCAGTTTGCCTAAGCAAGGGCCAAGTATCACGTTATTTAATTGTTATAACTTGATTATATGTCTTGATAACTGACAAGGGTAGTCTCTTACCTTTGTATTTTTCTTAAGGAATGTTCTTGGCCTTTTGGTTTTATTTTGTTGTTGTTGTTGTTCTGAGACAGGGTCGTGCTCTGTCACCCAGGCTGGAGTGCAGTGGCATGATCATGGCTCACTGCAGCCTCAATCTCCCTGGGCTCAGGTGATCCCCCACCCCCACGACCCCCACCTGCCTCCCCTCCACTCTTCTACCCCACCTTTGTGTTGCTTAGGCTCATCTTTAACTCCTGGGCTCAAGCAATTCTCTTGCTTCAGCCTCCCAAAGTGCTGGGATTACAGGTATGAGCCACCATGCCTGACCTGCTTTTTAAATTCAGTATGAGAGTCAGTTTGTAAAATGATAAACTGGGATAAAAAGCAAATAGCTCTAGGAAATTTATTTTTCTGTCCTTTTTTTTTTTTTTTTTTTTTTTAATTTTATGACAATGTTTCACTCTGTCACCTAGGCTGGAATGCAGTGGTGCAAACATGGCTCACTGTAGCCTCGAACTCCTGGGCTCAAGCAATCCTCCCACCTCAGCCTCCCAAGTAGCTGAGACCACAGGTGCACACCATTAGGCCCAACTAATTTTTAAATTTTTTGTAGAGACAGGGCCTCACCTCGTTGCCCGGCTGGTCTTGAACTCCTGGCCTCAAGCTATCCTCCTGCCTCAGCCTCACAAACTGCTGGGATTACAGGTATTGAGCCACTGTGTCCAGCTTGCTTTCTCTCTGTATCTCTCTCTTTCTCTTTCTTTCAACTAGAATCACATTTAATGATTAATTAGGGAGTATTGACAGTGCTACAATATTGAATCTTCCTTGGTTTTGCTACTCTAGCAGAGCAAGGAAGTTCCAGTTTGCTGAGCTCTTTAGAAAAATTTGTACATATTGATGGATTGCATGTAAAATTTTGTCACATCTATATAATGTATCGTGATCAAGTCAGAGTATTTAGAGTGTTCATCACCCAGCTACATTATTGTTAACTGTAGTCACCCTACTCTGCTGTCAAACATTGGATTTAATTCTATCTAACTATATGTTTGTACTCTTTAACCTACTTGTCTTCATCCCCCCGCTCCCCTGCCTTCACCCTTCCCAGCCTCTATTATCTTTCCATTCTCTACCTCCATGTGATCAAATTTTTTAGCTCCCACATATAAGTAAGAACATGTGATATTTGTCTTTTGTGCCTGGCTTATTTCACCCAGCGTAGTGACTCCCAGCTCCATCCATGTTGCTGCAAATGGCATGATTTCATTCTTTTTCTTATGGCTGGATAGTGTTCCATTGTGTATATATGCCACATTTTCTTTATCCATTCATGTACTGGTGAACACTTAGGTTGATTCCATATCTTTGCTATTGTGAATAGTGCTGCAATAAACATGCAAGTGCAGATATCCCTCTGATGTATTGATTTCTTTTCCTTTGGATAGATACCTAGTAATGAGATTGCTTGATCAAATGGTAATTCTGGTTTTAGTTTTTTGAGAAATCTCCATGGTGACTGTACTAGTTTACATTCCCACCAACAATATGTAAGAGTTTCTTTTTCTCTGCATCCTTGCCAATATCTGTTCTTTTAAATCTTAATAGCCATTCTGACTGGGGTAAGATACTGTTGTGGTTTTGATTTGTATTTCTCTGATGATTGGTGATGTAGAGCATTTTTTCATATACCTGCTGGCAATTTGTGTGTCTTTTGAGAAATGTCTATTCAGATTATTTGCACATTTTTAAAGTGGATTATTTATGGGGTTGGTTGGTTTGTTTTTTTGTTTTCTGTATTGTCCCGTAAGACCTGAGATTATTTGTTTTGTTTTGTTTTGCCATTGAGTT